TAGATTTGGACGGATTAATGTTAGTTAAGAGAATGTTGCTGGCATAATCGTAGGATCGGGCGCTCTCGCATTAGAAATCCTCATTAATGGATACGAAAGATTTTAACGAAATTAGCGCTGCTTTTTTATTGCTGCCTTTTTGTTTCTTATTCATCCATTATGCTTTTTATTTATATTTCTTTAATTAGCATTCACATAATGCTATTAGGGAGAGCCGGTTATATTATTCTTTATTTCCTTTTATATTTGCATTTTTGCAATTATACGTAATTATTTATTAACGTATAATTACAAATTTAATAATGACGAAAATCGCAATTATTAAAGACTTTAATTGCCGCATTTTTATGCTTTAATATTCGGCAAATTAATTGAAATAAATAGCTAAAGCAAATTATAATTTAGCTAAAAGTTTAATACAAATCTCCTAACGTAATAACTTTATTAAAAGGACCCCTTAAATAAAAATAATAATTAATTTAATAATATGGAAAAAAAAATGCAAGATTTATAAGAGCTTAATTTAAACGGATCGCATTATTATTTTTAGGACCACTTAAAATAAATCTTTCTCGCTAATTCCCGCTAAAAATAGCTTCGACTTCTCATAAACGCTATACAGGCTCAAGCCTCGGATAAAGCGCGACTCTTCTAAAGCGGCGGCGCCGGCGCTTTTAAGCGGCCTTACGATTATATGCAGGTCTTAGTGGCGCTGCTTAACGACGGCGCGCATCCTAATAGCGTCCGGATTCTTAAAGAGGGGTCGGTCGAAAACATGTGGAAGAACCAGATTCCCTTTAATAGGAACTTGCCGCAAAACCGGGCTATATAAGCATTATTTTGGCCGAATTTAAATATTAATCTAATTAATATACGGATTTAGCATAATTTAAAGGGATATTTAGCGGATGCGATATTATTTTTCCGCTAATTAATTAAAAGTCCTGGTTATTATTAAGGCATTAAATTAGTGGCTCGCTTATCCGAAATTATAAATCGTATACTAAAGATTATTCCTCCACCCCACCCTTTACCCCACCCTTCGCTTTAACCACATAATAATTAGCAGGATAATTATGGCAATATGCATTATTATTATAATAATATTTAAAGGAGTTAACTTTAAGCAAAATATGTTAATTATTTATAAATTATATTATATAAGGATATTATAAAGCAGAATAAATTAATACGGAACCGGTTAATCTCACGTATAAGCTTAAAACGGAGTTAAGACGGAAATTTTAAAAACGGATATATATTATAAAATTAATTGCCTTTTAGGGGAATAACCCGGGCGTAATAAATTATGTGTGTATATGTGTGTATGTGTGTATATGTGTTATTATGATTAAAAATAAAATCTAAGGCGCCTTATCGTTTAAAGGACCGACCTGAGTTTGGGAATGGGATCGGGTCGCGTAATCGTTTTTAAACGCTTCCTCCTTCGCGATTATAAACAGCCAAAGGAGGGGCACCTTAACATCGAAATAAAGGGCATTAAAAACTTATTATACGATAGCAGCCTTAGAAATAATAATAATTCGCTAATGCCGATAATATGCAAAATAGCGCTTTTAGCTATTCACTTTAGTCGTTTTTTAAATAACGACTTCTCTAGGCTAATAATTCATTACATTAAATTTTTATTAATATTTCTCTAGCTGCTTTTAAATAACTAATTAACCTTAGCTATGCATTTTTAAAAGAGAGCAAATATATGTTAATAGTTAAAAAGGAAAAATACTCTTGAGCTAATTGCTATATTTAATTGCTTATGGGTTAAGGAAACTTATTTTAATGTAAGGAGGAAAGAAAAAGTGAGAAAAGACGGCCGCTATTAATTTCAATTTAAAGACGGATCTCACTGTGAAAATTATGATATTATGTACACTTTATAATAGCAGTTTTCAATTATAAGGACCTTTTATATTGCTTTTTAAACACGTACACAATTAAATTTTAGATTCTTATATTTAAGTAACGTACGATCGAATAATCGTAAACAGCCATGGGCCGCGTCTTTATCGGTTAGTCATTCGACTTGCCCGCACCACGTTTGCTTAGCGGGTGGATTAAACGCCCGCAGACCGAAGTCATTGTGGCCTTAGCTCCGGCTTTTTAAATATAGCTTAGGGTTAATTTAGCCGGTGTTAGTATTAATTATAATCCGCTGCGCTATTAATTGCTTTCGATTAGGCGGGCAATTATAATTTACCACACTAAATAAGGATAGCGATTAAAAAGTACATTTGGCAGAAAACGGAGATATTTAATTATATTAATATACCCGCTTCCGTCGCTATATTCTTTATACCGAAACTCCGGATACCGCCTGCTGCCTAAAACTGCTTTTAAAAATGCTAGGAAGGTGCCTAACCATAAAGAGTCAGGCTGACATTTTATTATTAGCTATAAGTCCTATATAAAACATTTTAGGGTTATTTCCGCTAAATATAAGGCTGAGGCCTATTTTAATATGATAAGATTACGAGGTCCCGAAAGCAACGTGATTAATCGCTATTCTTTTTATAGGGCTCTTAAGTTTTATTCTTAATATATCATACATCCACTGGAGTTTTTCGATTATTTTACATAATTAACTAATCGTTTAAAGCCTACGACTAATCTTTAAAACGATTTTAATATTAATTATAACGGGCTAAAATACGAAAATACGAAGCAATCATACGTTAAAGCTCCCGTACACCGTATACCGGGGCGCCATTATCGGAGGGCACTACCGATTATAGTAGTTACGTTTGCACACCGAGTTTCTCGATATTTTTTCCGCTGTTTGCCTTTGTGGCCATATCTTTAAGGCATAGGCCTTTTCGCTGTCGTGCCCAGCGAACCACAGCAAGCTGCTTAAATCGCGCCGCCGTCGTATGAAGCGTATTTACCGCTCTGGTAACTTTATTAACGCCTTTAATCGGTTTAGCTGCCGTTTCCTCGTGAGCAAGGTCGACCGCTCCGAAAAAGAGTGGTCAGCAATTAGCATCCGGTTAACATAAGCTCTTTTAATATAATCCTTTTAATGTCGTAACCGAAAGCCTTTATAAAAGCTTTAGCGGGCCCCTAAAGCCATTATAAGCTTCCGGTAGCATTTTTCTCTAATAAAGGATTACCGTCTTATAAAAGCAGTTTAATATTAAATTTAGTAATATTATTATAAATAAAAAATAGCTGGGCAATCACTTCCTTAACTTCCTTAATTATATTTTTATTAAAAATATCCTCGTTGTCGAGCCTTTTCCTTTTAATCGGGTTTAATTCTAATCCTTTGCGGGATTTTATCCCTTGGGCATAAAATAACTCCTAGTCTTTCCTCGGATCTGCCTGCTTTATGCCAGGTAATCGCTATGTCCCGTTTAGCTAACGCCTTATAATTATCATACGGCTTTTAATATCGTAAAAAAGTGCTTTAACGACAAGCGCCGCGTAAAAAAATATCTCTTTATCGCCCTCGCTAACGGCGCCTTAACTTAATATCGGGTAATAAAGATAAAGGCCTAAAAAATTATAATATAATGCAAAAAGCAAATCGCGCGTATACCGCAATTTATCGTAAAATATGATATTAGATTTTAAGCTTTTTTTTTCGGCTAAATAAAGCACCGATATATTTGCGATATCGTAGGCTAAATAGCTTATAATATTAGCCTAAAAGTCGGGCTAAATAATTATACCCGTAAACGTATATAGCTAAAACGCAAAAAGCAAATCCGGATTATGCGCCGGAAATGCGTTTGCGTTTAAGAAAAATATCTTTTAAAAAGGGGAGAAAAATAATATAAAAACCCTAAATTAATATTTTTTTATTCGATAAAAAGGGTCGCGATATCGAAAAGCTCGGATAAAATAACGTATTAGGCGCTTATAAATGGAAATAATTCGTCGCAAACACGCTCGTCGTAATTTTTAAGGGTATCGAAAAATACCATAATTAGCAACCTCGAGCCTGCTCGTCGCAATATACGCAAAAAGAATATAACCACTTTAAAATACTTCCCGCTTATCGTTATAACGACTCCCCTAATTCCCCGTTAATATAGCAAAGTAAACGCGAGCGTATTAATAATATCGAAATAAGACTTATAGCTGCTTTTTAGGCAATTAATAGCCTCCTTTAAAAGCCGGGTAATATCGAGTCGCTAATAATTTGGATTCTCGTTAAAGTCGAAGGTCTAATCTTTATTGCTAGCGCCCCCGATTAACACTACTAAACTAATTAACGGTATTATATTACGCAAATAATCGCAAAATTTATGCTAATATTCGTGCACTCTCGGAGACCGAATATATTTTTATACCGATAAAAGTTAACTAGCTCGGAAAATATTAATTTCTATACGCTCCTTCCTTATCCTAGCTACGCCTTAAAGAGTTAAATAAAAAAAGAAAGCAATAATAAAAGCGATAAAAATACGCCAGACGCGCAGCCGCGGGGGCCGCATAGCCATGACGTTTAATTTAAAGAATTATTTCGTTTGCTTTAAATGGGTTATAATTATAAAAAACAATTGCTTAAAATCGAAGGAGATAAAGCTAGAATAATTATTGCTATAGGAACTTAAGTAAATAGACAACAGAACAAGCAAATAGAGAAAGAAAGGGGATATGGAAGCAAGTAAGTCGAAGCAAAGATCACGATTGTGAATTATGTACGTATATCGATATTCAATAGTGCCCTTGTATCGAAACTAGACGAAAAGCAATGATACGCGATATGCGATTTCGTAAATGTGGGTCTTATGACCGTGTGCCGACCAGAGTGAGCCATCTGTCTGATCTGCTGGGATTTTCCAGCAGAAGCAGAAGCAGATGGCCCATCTGTCTGCTGAGTCCCTTGGCAACAGATGCAGATATCTGCTGGGTGATGATCTGGCAGATCAGATACTTGGCAGATAGCAGATACTTGGCAGATAGCAGATCTGCCAGCAGATCTGCCGCAGATCTGTTGTATCTATATATAGCAAGCAAACCGACTCACACCCATATCAGCGCCGTCGCGCCCAGTCAACCAGCTCACGTGTAGTATCGTAATCCAATGCCGTATTCGGTAGCTTATCTAGCAGATCAAGCGGTAATTCAGGCTTATACACGCCCACTTTACTCCAAGACCTGATAGATTGGCTTGCGCCAATAACGTGACGAGCAAGGTGAGTTCTTTTGGCTGATACCATTTCACCCACGCTGTTGAATTGGCGCTCAGTTTCTGCTTGGGCTGAAGGGATGGAAAGGTAGTCCACTGCCATATAGGATAACGTTGGGAAACGCCTGGCGCAAACGTCCCGCCACCAGCCCACTGGGTCGTCGAAGTAGGCCGATAGGTCGTTGATAGGCGCTGCCAGGTATTGTTCAAGCTCGTCGTCTGGCGTATCTTCAAGTCTAATTGGCGTTGCCTTTTTACCTTTCCTCCTCTTAGCCGTTTGCTGCGTGTCTTGTGTTCCTTGTGAATCAGGGACCTCGCTGGCGGCGTCGGCTTGGTAAAATCGCTTCCGGCGTTGAAGCATTGTGAGTACTGGCTGTTGGTTGGCAGGGGTTGGTGCATCGGAGCTAGACGACGGTCTGGGAGAGGATTAGCTGGAACGAAGATTGGTCACCACCGCAGCTTACCGAGTCTTATAGTTCTCAGTCCATCTCGTCCTCAACTGGCCAAGGTAGTGGTCTCGCCAAGATTGCTGTTGCCGCTGAGGCTCAGCATCAAAAATGCCTTGCAATCCAGCCATCTTCATATTGGGGTTGAAGACTACGGCGGCAGCATAGGCCAAGTTGACAAGCTTGTCATAGTAATGTTGTAGTTTCCAAAGGCCTACCTTGATGTAAGCCTTTAAGAAGCGGCGTTGCTGGTTACTCAGATTCGCGAACAGCTTTACGTTCTCTGGGATGGGATCTCCAGCAGGGTTTTCAGGATCAATCCTCTCAGAATAGCAGTTGCCAGCAGCGCAGTCCTCCAGATGAAGAAGTAGGTATTCCATCTGCGGAAAATACTGATCAAGCGCACCAGCAGGTCCGTTGCCCTGAAGCTTTTTCGAAGCGACTTTGAATGGCTGGAGGATTTTCTGAATTGCTTCAACCACTCGCCAATCCTGGGGACCCAATCTAAATTCAAGGATTGGTGGCTTATCACCCTGCTTCGACCCAGCACCTTCCCAGTGATCTGTCAAATTCTGATGCAGCCGGTTGATTACCTGCTTCAGCTCCAAGGCGCGCGCCGCCATGGCCTCGTCGCTTTGCCACCGCGTTGCATTATTTTGGATCCATTCCTTGACTGTTGCTTGAGGGTCGAGATCGCGCTGAATCTGGCGGAGGGCGCCGACGAGCTGACTACTTTTGTGAAAGCAGTTGCCATGATTGTGAAGCTTGCCAAACGGGCCATTCTTGTGGTACTTTGTCATGGTCTTGGTGGTGATCTGGTTTGGCGTAAGGTAATCAAAAGCGCTGGTTAAAGCTTCAACTTCAGCTTCAGATACCCCAGCCTCGTCTTCAACATCAGACTCGCTACCGTCGGAAAAACTGCCAGTATCCGAAGAATCGTTACCGTTACCATCTTCGCTAGTTAAATCCTGCTGATTAAGATTATTGTCGTTTTCCTCTTCCTCCTCCTGCTCCTCTTCCTCCAGATTCACGGCCACAGCGCCAAAAGCACGCTCCAAAGCGTCGTTTTCTTGACGCTCATCAGCAAATTCTTCCTGAAGCCAGGTTTCCAATACTTGATCAAGCGGCAGCCGTTTACACCCATCTCCATAAAGCAAGGCACGAACGGCGAGTTGCAAGGCGTGCGGAGCACAGCTTATCTGCCGATCAACACCATCGAAACCAAGTTCTTCACCAATCTTTGCCATAGTCGTCTTGTTCTTCGACTCGTTATCCAAGGTGCAGTAGCCTATCAAATCCTCGATCTCGAAGAAGCGGATTACCGCTAGAACCTCGTCAGCGACGTCAGACCCCGTGTGACGCTTGATCAGGGCAGGAAGACCTAATAATATGGTCCATTTCCTGAAGTCTTTGTCCACAAAATGAGCATGCACTCCAATAAACGAGACAAACTTTCTCGAGGTCCAGCCATCAAAAGTAAGATGGATTTGACTACGTGCCGTTCGTAGAAAGCTCTTGATCTGGGGTACTGCTCGCTTGTACTCGGCCAGGAGTAAGCGGACGATGGTCTTCGAATGTGGTAGGTCTTGCTCGTTTAGTATCGGGTTGTTGTACAGCTGTTGACGGCGCCAGCGAGAGTTGTCTACGATCCTGAACGGCAAATTTGAACAACAAAGCCAGTCCAAAATCAAAAGGTTATTCAGCGCCTTATTAAAGCGAATCGCGAGCTGCCCGTGGAGTGCCTGCTGCTGTGGTTGTGAAAAGTCGACCATGGAGTCAAGCGTACGTTGTGAAGACGGCGTAGACGTAGGTGCATTCTTCTAGGTGGGATTTGTGGTGTAAGCTTGCAGATCTAAGTCTGTTTGCCTTGCAACTTACCCCCTTTTCTGCCACCCTGTGATTTTCTTTGAGATGCTTCTCTATAGATCTACTGCCACTGGCCACGAATGCGGTTTTCTTTTTTACAAGAAGACACGCCTCGCACACCCAGATCTGCTGTAGCTTCAACGGCCGTTGGGGGTCCTTGAGTCGAAAACCATACTTCCACCATTTGAGTTCTTTCTTAGGCTCATGGTATAGTCCTAGGCCTGGAAAAGCTGCAAAGCGATCTGGTGTCCAAATAGAATAATCAGGGAACGATTCAGGCTCATGGTTGAGTGGTGTTGGCGTCGATGCAACAGACGAAGTAGGTGAAGAAGGTGTTACTGAAGGCGTGGGTGAATCCATTTTAGTGTTGAGCTCTTGTAGCTTCAGGTCAGACTCCCAGGTTGGCTGATAAAAAAGTTTTAGGGTTCGTTTCCACACAAAACCCACCTGGAGTCATAGTATTGGCTAGCATCGGTGCCTGGGCCAGGGGCGGCAGCAAGGGTCACGATCTTGGCACTAGCAGATCTGCGCAGATCTGCCATCTGTCTGCTGATCCCAGATCGTATCTGCGTCTGATCTGCTGGCACCCCAAAAGATCAGAATCTGCGTCTGCTGGGTGGCCTAAAATCGCATCTGTCTGCCATCTGATCTGTTAGCAGATCTGCGGCAGATCTGCCAGCAGACAGATGGCTCACCCTGGCACTGCTTAAAGCGACGGCCCTATACTGAATGAGGCAAGCAGTGTTATTGAGAAGCTTAAGTTAGTCATGGGTAGACAGCAGATGTAAGGGCAGATACTGTATACACTGTCCCATCTATCTGTGGGCATAGAGGTCCCAGCTCGTAATCGTTCCCTGATGATTACGAGCATGCTCTTTATGCCATATTCGTGCAGTGGTAATATGCCATGCTGTGACAGCGGAGTCGACATATACACCGTCTGGAGCCTATGCCAACGCACTTAAAAAGCTTTTAGACTGGTTGGTCGTTGATGCAACTGAACAGTGATATGCAGCAACGGTAGCAGAAAAGATTGCCATCCGGCCCGTAGTGGAAGAAGGGTACTCGATCCATTCGTAACCCCGCTCATTCACCCTGGCTTCGCCATGAAATTCTTTTTTCTCTTCACCATGCCTAGTCTATTGAAGACATAGCCACTTTAGGCAAAAAAGAAACCGCTGTCGTGTAGCTTTATCGGTGAATGGATTCGTCACAGTAACATCTACGTGCTAATTCACTGGTAAGGCTGAGGGCGCTTGCTTGCCGCTGTGGCTCCATGTCACCAATTAGGCAACATGATGCAGACTGAGGACCGCCATCACGGCACATGCATTACACGTGTCCAAAGCGAATCAATAGCTAGAATGACTGTGTGTGGGATACGACAAGCCGAGTTGCTTCAATCTAAGTAATTACGGGTTTCTCGCCTGTTGTCGTAGGAGGATAGCGTCAGCAATAGTTACGACCCAGAACCAACCCCACCGGGCTCTGCTGCATCTGTAGATCACAACAAAATCGTAAGTCAAACATGAATATTCCAACAGTCACTTTATCAACTCACTTACATGCAAGCTGCGATCGCCCTACGGCACAAAAATTCACTATCAGCGACTCGCCCTGGAAAGTCGCAATGAATGGCTCAAGATCAACAAAGTATACGGTGAAGACTTATACGTTGGGTGCGGGATGCTCAGAGTATAACTAACGGAACAACCTGGGGCATTAGAGAAAGAGACCCTTGGGAATTTGGAGAGAGACGGGCTCCGCCATTCACAATTCGTCTTTGGCGATCTAAGTGATCGCGAAAGGGCCATCGGTTTGAAAACACGGGACGGCACTTTCCACCCAAGTGACGTTGTAGTCGTAGCTGATAAGCGATCATGTCAGATCTACCCCGAAATTCGCTAGACTGCAGCAGCCGCGTCATTCTCCACACAGTTGCTTCCAGAATTTTCGTACCACCTCGAGTCCTCCGCGGGCAGCATTGTGACTTTCAAAATCAACGAGAAAGACTCGTTCCTGCGGAACAAGTATGCACTGGAGGATTTTCCCGTCTTAACGTGGGAAAACCAGCATCGAAATTTCGAAGGTAAAGACACCGGGAGTATTTATGCATTTCCTCGGACTTCAGAAGGTCTTATCAAGACTGGGTATCGTGGGATAAAGGTATGAGTTCTCTATCTTTGATACGATTGAACACGACTAACATCAAATGCTTCCAGTTCACGAATTTCGTGTTTGCCCCAGAAGGAACAACTTTCTCTCAAGTTGGCAAATGGTCTGTCCCGCTCCCATCTTCCGCTTGTGATGCAATCAGTCAACCTGCTGTGGATTCAATCAGAGAATTTGAATGTATTTTTCTACCAGAGTTCGACGGCATGCCTTTCTATTCTACCAAAATGTGCTGGCACACCGACTCTCTTAATAATTCTTTTCTGGCAAGTCCTAACATCCTGTAAATTCTCGGCACATTTGTTTGTCTAATGTCTTACCACAGGTCGCTTATGTTCCGACGTACGCCGACAGTTCCGTTTTTGCATGCACTGGCGGCAGTGGACACGGCGCAAAGTTTTTGCCCGTGTTGGGAAAGGCTTGGATAACTAGAACGTTTCTGTCTTTTACATTCACTGACTTATTTTTGGTTATAGCATGCGGCTGATCAATTGGAGAATGGGCCTCGTAGCACATCTAATATGTATCCTCATTGGTGTTGGCGTAACCATAAACCACGGAGCGATGGTCTAGAGGAAGGCCCTGCATGCAGGCATATCAGAAGTGATATGACAGATCGAGATTCCATACAGCTGAAAACCATATTGTCCTCATGTGAAACAGAGTCACCGTGGTGTAATTGACGATTGTGATTAGTAGGAAAAGGTGCATACAGCGAACCCGTATGCATTATTCTATCAGGGCCTTATGACTTCAGGGGGTGTATCAATGTGAGAGGGCGGGAGTACTGCTAGTCCGTAGAAGGCATAGCCTTAAAAGCACTGCTTGAAAAGAAAAGGAGGGGTGGGTTGGGCTAAGGGAGCGTTGAAGTGGTCAACCATGATCTTGCGGGGAAATACATTGAGCAGTGGCAACGGCACCACCTCTGTCATTGATAGTAGGCAACTTGTTCTGTTCTTGTTCTTCAAGCGACAAGAACCAGAGAAAAGATAGATATACATGTAGCGATATAGTACTTCATGATGTCACTTTGAGGTCATCTGAGATCCCGATCCTCGCTCCTGAGCATTGTTACTGCGCACGAGCTTGGCAACCATTCCCTCTTGTGATTCTGTTGCTGTTTGCCGAAAGTCGTGCGAGAGCTTTCTTCGCGGAGCACATAGTTATCCTTATCCTTATGGATTGTGCCGTGTGCAGGTAACTATGACATCTATAACAAACGTCGTACAGTCTCTCCAGACATGTGCTGATTCAACCCATACAGTAATTGTGGGACTTCTCGCACGCCGTTATGGAGGCGGTCAGCTGCTTGTAATGCCTGTGGACTCTACTTGAAGAGACGCCAATTACCGCGTCCACATCACCTCAAGCAACGTCGGTCGACAATAATGGAGACATCTCGGACCAGATTGTTCCAAGAAGCTCGACTAGACGCCGGTAGTCAGACAAATGAAGTAGATCCGGTAATAGGATCTTGCAAGGGTAAAGGAAGGTGTAATGGGACTGGTGGCGTTTCTGATTGTGTTGGTTGTCCGGTCTTCATCAACTTTACCTCGAGGAACACTGAGAAGCGCCCAAGTTCATCTGCCTCATTGATCGCGCATGCGAAAGGCTATGTGCTAGATGCTGACAGTGCTGAAGAGAGCCAGAAAACGTCTCAGATCCAGGATTTGACCCAAATGATCTGCCACAATTGTAAAAGCACGATTACACCATTGTGGCGACGTGATCATGGAGGTCATACAATCTGCAATGCTTGTGGTAATCTTGAGGTCCCTAAACTTCAAGCGAAAAGTACTAAATAAATTCCAGGTTTGTACTTCAAACTCCACGAGGCGCATCGTCCTCTGTCCAAGACAAAAGCAACGATTAGAAGGAGGACACGCCAATCATATGCAAACAGTATGAGAAAATCTGTACATTATTGGTTTCTTCCACTCAACTGGAAACAGATAAGATTGCCGGACAGTCGCACTTACCTGATATTGAGAGCGATGATCACGTTCTGCCAATACTGGCGGTTGCTCAGGTTTCCACAGCTTCCACAGCCATAAGAGGACCCGTTGCGTTTCGCCACAAGAAAAGAAATGCCGACGGGAATAATCATGACAGTACTTTTCAAACTATTGCGTCACGTACGAACAACACACGCGACGAAAGATATCAGCCGTACTTGCGGACTAAGAAATCGTTATCGAGTGATAGCAACACAAGCCAGCACAATTTTCTGGCTTTGATTCTAAGCAACGAGGATTTCAGGTCCAGTGCCGTTACAGCCAACACTTCTCAATCTGTTGGCCGATCAGAGGCCTTGACTCAAGAGCGTCAGAAATTGGAAGATATCTCCAATGAAGACATGCAATCTCAGACAGGGAATTCAACTTCTGGGCAGGAGAAACAGCCACTTGAACTTTATTAGCAATAATAAGCAGAAGCAAGCCGTCCTAGAGAGGAAGATTTGTAGCCTGCGTCAACTTATAGCTATCAACGAGAAGGAGAGCATTAAAGCCGGCAACAAGCCCATCAAAGCAAATTGATGACTAGATGCCGCAACGACTGGTGCAGTAGCATGGTTTGTGATAATGAATCAATATACTACGTCAGATTACGTATGTCTGCCAGGCCTTCGTAACAAAAGCCAAGTTGTCATCCTGTTACGTACTTGAACAAGTCAAGGATAGTACAGCTGGGCCATATCGCCGATGACAGACTTCAGGGCCTGCGCTGAACGATAGTTCCTGTAGGAGTTTTGAGATGGCCGTCTTCCTTGCATGATTTATAAATTTCAGCACTAAAATTCAATATTATGCAGTAGGTAACTACAATGCCTTTGATATGTGTTCTGGGATATTTCGAATTTTCAACCAAGTTGGCAAGCGCGTCCCCGCCATTGCATATCCGACTTTATGATGTTTGCCAATTTCTATTTTATTTCTTTTTTACACGTGGAAAGGGAGGACGGCGACGAAGGCGAAAACAGATACAAGTCATATTTTCGGATTGCCATGTGGCAGTGCTCATTGTACGGCTAGCTACGCTACAAGAATTAGACGCCTGCTTTCAGCCTGAAAGACAACAAATCATTATAAGTTCGTTAGAGGCATGTTTGGCAGGGCAGAGCAATTCGATATACCAGGCGAAGATACATTTGTGCATCTCCCCGTAGGAAGTCGGGCTGAAGATATGTAATAAGATGTAGCACACGCACCACACACAGTTCGTGGCAACTTCTCGAAAATATGAAGGTCCCTTCGCAGACACGGAAGGGGAGAGATGGGACATGTACGGTCAGGCTGTAGATGAGTAATCAGTGACTGGGAAATACAGTACTGTACCTATTGCTATTGTCAGTCACGACTTGACCTTCACGCCTTTTTGTGCTCTCTGAATATTTTCAAGCGGATTGGCCTTCAATACCTGACGGCCTGGCACTAAATTATGGATTGTGGTCTTGAAAATGTGACCATATTGGTCCCACGCTTATCAATACTAGGGCCTCTCAGGCCTTCGAGGTACTGTAGCAGATTTATCCCAGGCTCTAGGTTTTGAGGCTGTGCTCAACAGTCTGTAGACGCTGGGATACTCTTCTGTGCCATGAATACTCTTCTGTCCTTCGGACAACAAGGATTCTCTTTCGAAATTGCATACATGTCGTGGAGCTCCCCTGACTCTCGTGGTTGAATGCACCAAACTGCGGGGACATGACTATTGCAACGAAATGGCAGCACAGGCGACGATGGTGGACGGATCCCGCGCCTCCATGACACTGCCAGCATTGGCTGAAGAACTTCCACTCACGCGACATGCTCTCTCCAATGAATTAGACTAAATGTACTTACCACAGCGTATCGACCATACATGCTGAAAGCATTGAAAGAGCATGATATAGGTTGGAGACTCACAAGTGTGCAGCTGCCACCACGCGGACGAGCTTTGAAGTCTCGATATGGAACGTCCCGGCTAGCCTTTCGGATCCTGGTGTCATCGAAGTAGCCGATGCATCGCCGGTAGACAAATACAATATGGTCATGGGAACACCTGACTCATGAGTCATGTCACCAGCACCAGGTGATAGACAGGTTAGTACTTGGCTGTTGCCAATGCCTAGAAATACTCCTCCTCCCAAATTTTCGCTGACAGCTGAGCCAGGACATATCCAGGACTACCACCATAGAACAAGACATTGGACCAAGTGTAGAGACAAAGACAAACGAAGGGACACAAAAGCACCAACATGTATGCGACCATGGCTGTCCGGGTCTAGTGCATGTGAGGACAAAGTCCGGACGTTCAATGACCGATGCGGGCATGGAAAAATGACAAAAGGCTATTGCCCACTCAAATAAGCTAAGTAAAAGGTGTTGGGATCATGTATTTGATTCAGAAATTGGCTATGCTTTCGTCAGTGTGTAGCTAAGCTATACAGTACAACTAGTGCTAGCAATCCGGCAAAGTGACGGCGGGTCTTCCACACGTCTCCCGTTGCTTGCATCCTTCCTATATTTACGAGCTTAAGGAGACTATTGTCTCAGAACTACATTTGTGTGCACGAATCATACTTGGAATTGTGTTCAGTTCCATGCCGGGATATGGCAAGCGTTTAGATGGGTACATAGACGCATATTTCGGCTTGGTGCCAGTTGCTCGCTTGCTCAGCACCACAAGGCTGAGACCGAGTTATTCATCACCTTGTTAAAAGAGGCAGTCAAGCTGGACGAGATGCAGTACGACCGGACAAGGTACAACCAGGGCAAGAAGACTTCACGGACCCGACACTATTTGAACAGGGTACATTGCACAATTGACTATGGGGTACTAGCATTGGGCTGTTGTCGAATATCGAGTACTTAGTTCTTAGAAAATGTTGAGAACAAGCGGAACAAGCTGGATATGAAGTTTGCGCCAAAGAACAAATGTTCGAAGCAATCAAAGTGTCTTCTCCGGAATTTGAGGCTTTGGTCTCGGCTAGGAGCTGCAAATATCAGCATAGTGCCGTAGCGGTTGCTTAGTTCTAGCCTCACTATGCAGCCCGAAGTCCAATACTCGGTATCATTACAATGTCTACTACTACGAGGCGGTGCATTTTGTCAGCTTCGTAATCGCTACTGAGTAACGCCGTACCAATCTACACCCGGTGCATGGCTGTGAATAATGTAAGTAACTCATTAAGGTACTAACTATATCTAGCACGACTCTTAAATGCACTTTGCAATTTGCTACTAATCATCGAGTCTGCGTTTCTGCTCACGACATATCAGGCGTGAACCTTCCAAGCTTTCCCACAATGGTGGCAACTCAGACCACACAATTTCTTGAGCTTAGACAATTCAGTACATTTGCACTTGCCAAGAGTCTTCCACCTTGGACACAGAGTTTGAAAGGCTTCTGTTCTAATGTCTTGGTGATCCGAGCGCAATGCCATGATCAGCGCTTCAAAAAGCGGTATATCCCCGTCCCTTCCCATCTTGAACGCAGCAGAGTGGAGATCCCACACGGCTGCCGATACTCCCAGACAAGAGGCTGTTGTATATTCAAAACCTGGCACGACGCCACCGCGCAAAGTCAACGTCGCGTGCAGGCAACCCGGTGGCAGCTTGATGGCCACGCCGTCAGTCGTGATCAGAAAGACTCCTCTCTCAAGCTTGTCGTGAAGCCGGATGAAAATATCGTTTTGAGCGCATTCCTTAGCATATAATCGACGATTCTCGTCGGTTAGAGGGTATGTTGCCCAAAGCTTGACGCAGCCGCCGTGCGATGTCGTCACGACATGCTTGCCGTGGTCTGGAGATAAATTAGTTGATGGTCTAGCTCCATGGGACGTTTCCTTACCAATATGCAAATCGACGAATGTGTACTTAGGCGTGACGTTAATGCTAGTCAAGATGTCATTGTCCATATAGTATGGATGCGTCCCGATGAACCTCTCCGGCATCCTCATCTGGGCGACGGAAGTACTCATATTGGTAGCATAGTAAGTCGATGAAGCATCTGGATCTCGAAGCTGTTGCAAGACCTTGATGAAAGGCGCATCCTCGCAAGGAACATGTGGCCTGCCCCGAACATAGACTTTTGTTTATCTTGTGTCGAACTCATGAACAAGTTCGTTGAGCTGGTCGTCGTAGGCAGGCTTCTTGGCCCAACATTCGCTCGCGGGGTAGATGGCAGGGGCATTCTGGTAGAGATCTTGCCGCGAACGAGCAGCTTCCGGTGCTGGAAGGGTTGTGAGTCCTTCTGATCGACGGATCGCAGATCGAAACGCCGCCGTTAAGGGCGCCAACGGTCCCTGTAATATGTCGAGGACCTCCTCCATGAGACCTTCTAACTCGAGTTCTTGTTTCGCTTTTTGCGTATGGCGTTGAATATGCCGACCCCAGTTGTTTTTGCCTACCTTTTCGACTCGTGCGGCGCAATATGGACAAATGCTAGGCCATTTTACAGTTCCTCCTTTCGGCATTTTGCAGGAGATAAGAAGAGGGCACTAAGCTGCTGTGAAAGACTGCAACGGAAAGGGTCGAAAGTATCAATTGCTTATGCGTTAGAAGGTGAGGATGGGGGAGGACGGGAGAGGATGGATCTGGGTGGGGTAGTGACCCCGCTTTGAGCCACTAGAGGAAGGGGGGGCGGGCGGGAGTTGGTCAGCTTCTGCCAATTGATATAAATTTCGAAATAGTTTCTCTAATGCAAGCCCAAATAGATGACCGAGGATTACTAAAACACTGAAATTATAATCAACATAGTGTCACTAGACGACGAACGTAGCTGTATTGCAGCCAAGTAGCTGAATTCTGTTTGCGGAAATCGTAGTGAACTTACTGTGCATGATGCATAAAAGTATGTTCATAATCTCAGCATCATCAATGAAGAGCTCGATAGCATCTCAGGTACTGTCGTGCGTAATGGCAAAGCTGGTGGAGGATGACTGCTCCCAAGACTTTCTGAAGACTGTCCAGAATTAATTGCGTCAGCTTTGATACGAAAGTTGATCGAGCGCCTCGATCAACAGCGTCAGATTTGTCTTGATAGGAGAGGCTCGTTGACTCAGAAATATTACAAGTATGAAGAAGTCTGGCGACCTAGGTACGGCAGCTGTGGTCAGCATTACAACCTCGTCACGTTATCAAATATATGTAACGCAGACCACGAGGAGACGCATATCTGATGAAAGGTTATACGGGATAATGGTTAGCATTGAAGATATGTAAGCGGCGCCGAATGTTATTGATACAAATCGAGAGAAGACGACGACACGGCGCTATATCAAATCCAATTTTACGGTCCAGATCTCTAACTGCAGATAAACACAGGACAAGAAGAAATTGTTACCAACCGCATATGATGGATACGATCAAATTCAATCAATCGTATCATTCATTTAACAAGTGGATAAATAACTAACTGGTCATAGGCGGGATTCTTAAAGATCATGGCCTCGTAATAATGCGCGTGCTGCCGGGAAGCATTATGCTAACCGACCAGCCCTTTATTTTATAAACCTCTTCGGCGATTTTATATAGCCAAATTATAAGAATAACAAATAGCTAGAATTCATATTTTTTATATTTTAAAATCTTTAATCCAAATTCCTAAAACTATTAGCTACCGTACCCGTTACTAGCGGTAAACTAAGCGTAAGCCAGGGATAAATATATTATAGCCGCCGTAAACCCGGTAGTAAATTTAAGCATATTTATATTTTATACCTTTTAAAGCGCTAACGTTTATTAGTGCGCCGCTTTTTCGCGGTTAATCCCTAAATAAACGATATAGGCTACGGCAAAAATTATACGCATATATAATTATTAGTCGTAAATATTATCCAATTTTTAAAATTTATAATTCCGTAATTTTTTTAATACCGATTGCGCCGTAATAAGTTTTTTAAATCCGATATTGCTTTTTACGGACACTAATAATAAACGTCGGAAATCACGGCGTATTCGTCCCGGTTTATTAGCGCTATTAAATTCTGGCTCGAGCATTTCGAGAGCTTTTACGTATTTTTTTATTTTATAATATATATCCGCGAGTTTAGCGACTAAAAAGCATCGTAAAATATTACGTATAGGCTTAAATAAACCTAACGCTATAAATTATTTAAAAAACGCCCTAGCTATATTAAAGTCTCCGATAAACTAAAAAAACCTTACCGTTATGCTTTAAAATCTAAATATTACTTCGTTTTTAAAAATAAATAAAAGTAATTTAGCTTTTTATTTATAAATAATAAAAAGTATATTATTATTAAAGCATTTAATTTTATTTTCGATTTAAGAAATATAAAAGCGCTTTTAAAATATATAATCGCGGCGTATAGCTGGCTACGGGGCACGCCACAAAAATTTGCGTATTTACGCCTCGGATTTAACGGAATTTCTATTATTACGATATAATATGCTTTAAAAAAATATGACAAAAGCCTAGAAATAATATAATATCGATTTTCGCATAAATGCTTTAACCTATTTTATAACCCTACGCTAAATAGCGACCGAGTTTTTTTCGGCAAAATAGAGAATTACCTTAAAAATTTAAGACTTATCCGAATTTAATATTTTATATATTTTAATAGCGTTATTTAATATCGTCTGAATTATATTTTTAAATAGGATAAACCTGCCAAATAAGCGTGAAAAAAAAATTAAAGATATAATAACTAGGTTATATTAATTTATATTATTTTTATAATATAATAAGCAAGCAAAGTATAATAGCTTTAACGCTACCGATTTTAGCTTATTTATAATTTCCGGGGTCACGATTTAGGAAAAAAATAATCTAAAATCCGGACGTAAAAATTAAGCGACCGTGCTATCCTTTAAAATATGCGTTATAATATAAGGGCTAAATGCCATTAAGGAAAATATTATCTTATCTAAGAAAAAGTTTATTACGTTATTTAGAAAACTAAAGTCTACCGTATCGATATTCTTTATTTTTTTATAAATATTCCACCGATGCTAGGAAAGGCGGATGCTTCTAAATAAAACGGTGGGAATTTTAAAGCTATCGAGCGCATAAAGCAGGAGCAAAAGCTAATCCGAGCCCGGAAAAATATTAGCATAATCGGTAATAAAATTATAATATAATAATTAAAGGGAAAAATCTAATAATTATAAATAAAGCAATTTAAAAAAATAATATATTATACGATGTAATTAACCGTATAATTAACCAAAAATTAAGCGTTATATAAACCCTATATAATATTTAAATTATAAAAAAAAATAGCTAAATAGCTGCTCGTTATTTATATTTAAATATCTTTTATATTTATATAATATTAAGTATTTATTTTCTTTTTAAAAATATATTTATTTACGTCGAATGCGGGATTTCTAGCGGGAACTAAAAAATCGCCCCGAAACCACCGAATTTGCGAGCGAGCTATATATATTTTCTCTTAAAATTGCGAATATTAATATAATTAAGTTATCTTAAAAAGATATTTGCGATAAAAATAGGCACGGACGCTTAAATATTTAATTTAAACCGGAAAAATATTACGACGCAGGCAAATCGCCGCCGTAGCTCGGCGTAAACAAAGTTATCGTTAAAAATAATCCAAAAACCGTTAATATCTCCTCGGAATCGCTTATATACCTGGTCGACAGGCGCAAAATTAATAAATTTAATAAAAAAAACCTTATTTATCCGCTAATTGCTAAAGATAATACAATATTACACGTCGCGGCAAAAAAATCTAGATTAACCCAAAAGGGCAACCAAATATTATAAGTGCGAATTTAGAGCAGGGATCAGCTTTTTAGCTTAATCCTCGTTAAAGGTCTCCGCTAAGCGGTAAATCGAGGTGCAAAGACATGTTCCTATGGCGCAAAAGTGCAACAGCAAATCATCGCCGACAGAAACCTGTGTGATCTCGAATGGTTTGCGCGTTTTACTCAGGGTAAGACCGAAGTGTATAGTTAGCACTGTGTAGTACTTTGGCTTGGGGCCCAGGTGACACGATGCCCCACCTGACCCGGGCCACTTGGGATGATTTTGTGTCGATCGTCACTCTGATCCGGCTCGTACACTAAACTAGTGGGTCTCTGTCGGTTAGCACCCTCTCCTAGAATGCTGGCAATTCAAGAATACAATCGTAGTAAAGGTACAAAGATCCAAGCACAAAGGCATTCGGATTAGTCGAAGCACAATTATCGTCTTCATACTAAAAAAGGCAGCAGCTCTAACTTTCTACGAAGTCTATATCTTTGTATGCATTTGTGCCATGCACAGGCTGTTTGAGTTGTGGGCGCTTGCTTCTCGAAGCTTCTTTTTACAGCCCTAGTGAGAGGACTCTGGAAGGAGCTTGTATGAGCGTACGAAGACCCCAACGATTCAACAGCTCTGATATCTCAAAGCCTTGTGTCTTTTTACTTAACGTTACCGTGTGCATCATGGTGTCTACCAACAATCTTGTGTATATTGGCGCTATGTAAACGTCGAATATGCCTAACAGGCAGTACGCGGCGTCTTCCAACTCAGTAGTCTGCCGGCTGCTCGACCAGTGCATTCGGTGTAGTACAGCGGGTCGCCGAGAAGCACGGGAATCTATACATTCGTCACAGTATGGATGGCAATCTCTAGGGACATCCTATATCCCAAAAATATGCCTTCAGACGAGTAGGTTTGGTCTGATTTGGGTCTTATGGGTAGGCCGTGTCTTTGGAAGCACTCACAACTAAAAAGGTGTCGAGGCCCCAAATCCTGTAGAACCAAGATCCTATGGATCCTACGCCACAAGACCAGATTCAAGGCCTCGTATGTTCTTTTTGGGCGTTTTGTGAGGCGCCAGCGCGAATCGTCCCCTCCTGAAACCACCAGATCAGCGGATCTAATGAACGGACAAACCATTCGCAGTAAAATGATATCCACCAACGGCTTATCTTTCTAGTCGGCCCAGGAACATGATAAAGGCACTCAAAATCATCATATTCAAAAGATCTCCTTGGAGATAGACAAGCAGTTGAGACGTAAGCGATTCCTCTACTTCAATTGTTTACGCTCATAAGTCCGAGGTAATGTTAGGAAAGAGCTAGATGCTCTACCGAGTTCACAGACGTAAAGTACAGCGAATCGATCTACAGGCGACTACCCAATACTTGTGGTTATTGTGATTCGTAGTCCGGTCTATAATTATAGGTTCCCCAGTTTCGCGCCAAACTATGCCAAGGCTCTATGGGTCAACCGCCCTGCTGGTTACGGCAAAACAGTTTGGGTACCAGAACTGTAGAATATCTCAAAGCTCAGGCCAACATAATTCTAGCTGTATTCTTCTCTCGGCTGCTCTCAAAGACAGAGAGCAGCCTTTCATCGTCACTTGATCCTGGATATCGCAAACAGTCTCGTAAAACCTTGAGGCATAGGACTTGGCCTCTGAAAGATTCGATTTTCGCGATGTTTCAACTTCTTCATCATTAAGGGATATGGACCTATTGGACGAAGTAGTCCACAAGATTCAAAGCTGCACATTTGCGGTGGATGGGTTGGATGGATATTCCTCAAAATGGACCTGGAATGTCATGCATATCAATAAAATTGAATCTTTCATGCGCAGGAGCATACAGGGAATATCTGGTACCACCTCGCCGATACTCTTAGTCGTGAGAATCAGGAAATCCGTACCAGCCTCTTGGACACCATCACAAGCAGTCCGAGCTTCAAATTGCTTGACTACAAGATCAGGCTGGATGTTTGTAAACCAGACGCATTGAAACTATCTCAGAGCATCGTGAACCGCAAATTGGGGAATAAGAGTCAGACATCGAAATGCGAAATAGCAGACCGAATAATGGATCGTTGCAACTCAATGTTTTTACGGATTCAACTCTTAGAAAGTGATCTACGCGGGCAAAATCCAGAAGCAGTTGGAACGACTCGTAGACCAAACCCCCTCAGAACTCTCAGGGATTTTCTCCGGCGCCCTGTCCTCTGGTCCAATCATAGCGCGAAGTGGTCTCTGATGAGGCTACTTCGGACCGAGCAGCCTATCAGAACTTTTGCGTCTTATCATGAAGCAAATCGCAGGTGAAAATAGTGTCCCGATAGGATGAGGACCTCTGGACATCTGTTGAACCAATTCTCAGCTGGCATAAGTTGCGCACCAATCCAACTGCGCTTGCGAGATTCAAGCGCGAGCAGTATATGCCGCCTCATCAACCTAAGGCGGTTCTACTGAAATGGTTGACCGGATGTTGCTCTCAGAGCTATAAATCAGGATTGGACAATTCTAATTAAGAAGATCACAGTCGCATAGAGAGTCGTGGATAGATTACACTAGCATAGGCCATAAAAGTTGTTTCCGGGCAGAATCCTTGGCCCCGTGCCGTGTCTTTGCCTGCCTTCAATACTCAACCGGTCTGATGGCTTCCTTCACCTTAAGTAGTGAGTGCCGATCGGTTACCACGTTGGTGGCAAGACTGAGTAAGGGGCACGACTCGAAGTATTGCTCTAGATTTTGTGGCTGCGACGCTTCGGCAAGGAGCTCAGCTGCTGCGCGTCGGCTTTCCTCTTCGCGTGATCGTCCTTGGGAGGTCTTTGCTCTGCCTCGCATAGTCTTCGTTCCTCCGTACGCAGTCGCTATTCCCTAGCAAATTGCCGCCGATGACATTCAAATACTTCCATAGCGAAATTTTTGCTTTTTGTTTTGGTGATGCTCTTCACGTCCATCAACAACACATCGCAACGACTAATTAGACAACGTATCCCATACAGATCGCAATGACTAGTACAACACTAGCACTCCACACTTAGGCCGTGATGATGTGCTTTCCGCCGCATGCATTGTTTGCCATAAATTCAATGGTATCTCGCGTGGGATCCCGATATGTTTGATTGTCATAAGTACCTTTCTTCTCCTCCCACACACCAAAGTCTCTAGCTTATGTACAATGGTAGGAGACATATCCATAGCATACAGACCTAGCAGGTTGTGCTTTAGTCGCTGAGCATAAGCCTCTGTACACTCGGAGGAATCATGTTAAGCAAGAATGTTGCTTGCTCAGTGTTAACGGTGCTCTGTCAAACTAGGATGCCATCAATAAAAAATATATCAAGATAGAGACAGATTAGTCTTGGAGCACGCCTAAAAATTGGAGGGGCGATGGAACTTTCAAAAATGAACTTGTTGGAAGCATTAAGTGCCCTGCCTGGGAATAAGCCGGGCATAATAAATGTCTGTGTATCTCTCTCTGTGTGGTTGTGTGGTGTTTGGGTGGGTGGTAGTAGCAGCCTGAAAATGTTCGCGGGATGTCCCCATTTGTCCCCAATGGCTTGGCTAAGCCTGTCCAAGTCTTTGAATTGCTATTATGGTAGGATGGGTAAGTAAAACGCTCCATAGCATGTATTTTGAAGCCACTTGCGCAGACAGCGATGTGCAATGTTTATTCCTTTGGATTTCCGCCACCACATACAGGAGATCAGCCTCGGCCTTTGTGTCGTCGCACTGTTGGATCTTCCAAAGCTGCCCGAGGATGTGGATATATTCGATCCAGGTCCACGTCATGAGCCGCACCAGCGGATCGATGCCCGAGGATCATGCTGGTCTCGGAGCGAGATAAACGCATACCCTTGGAGTATCTTAATCCTTTTGTCTCGCGCTTCTTGTGTCTCTCTGTGCGGTAGCGGTAGTAGTGAGATTGGGATACTTGCCTCTGCCAAAAAGCAGATAAGCTTGAGGTATTCTGTAGCGGAAGGATATGTTCGTTCCAAGTATTCAAACGGCATTAGCCACGTTGTAATGACCAATGTTGGATTTGTCGAGTGACGCCAACGGGCTTTCCAATCAGCAGCTAAGAGCTTGACTTGCTTCGCGTCAAAATGAAGACAATGGTGTAAATAGGTGGTCGTTGTCGCCCTCGTCATTGTTAGATATGTCGAGGCTTGTTTGATCGCGAAAGGCTGATACATCAATAGCTTTAGGAGGTCACTCGTGGCTTGACCATCGCAAAATTGCAATTCCTGGGGCAGACCTTGTAGCAGTTCCAGCGCCTCGGATTCTCTCACCTCTCTGTTGGTGTACATATGGTTCCGCGGTGTACAAAGCTCCATTGCGATCTTGGTTGCACGCTGTAAACAGATTGATCTCTTGTGGCTGGAGGGAATATACTCATGTAAACTTCAGCCATCGGTCAGGTCGATTCATTGGTATTATCGACAATGTAAAGCTAATAGCTCGAATACTCCTCGCCGGTAGTCTTAACAACCCTCGATTGCATCAAAATTAAAGATCGCTACGGTCTGGCTCGTATCGGTTCTTAAATCTACTTGACCTCGTTCCAACGCTGGATTCTGTAGCGGACCTTCTCGAGCCTTTCGAACCATCTCCGTCAGTTTAATGTGCGGAAGCACCTACAGCATATGGTAGCCGTTTATTGGACGTTGAAACAGATAACTTAGACGGCACCTGCCCAATCGTTAAGTTAATGAGCGCTGCCAGATCCCGTTATTCGTCAGCCTCACAACAAGCCCGTCAAGTACCTGAACCCAACAATCGTTCAAGAACGACCAATACAACGACTCGGCCGTGTTTGGTTAGCAAACGGATCATACACTCACCGACTTCATTGTCGTGTCCAGAAAGCCCTTAGATTCCTTTTCAAAGCGACGTCAGCATTAGCCGGTAGCACCGCAAGCACAATAAGGCGAACCTCACGGGCATCATGATATTGATGAGATATTCCTCAAGCATGATGCTATAATTGACGCGAAAGACACCACTTACCAGCGCAGTCAGCTTCTCGAGAAGTCCACGAGTGTGACTAGGAGGTCATGGAAACACTATTTACTGCTGGTGCCAATAGCCAGCCACGACAATTAGCGCAGTCTGCTTTTTAGGTATGTAGTAATAAAGGGGAATGGTTAAGCTTCGAACTCTTTGCTCGTGGAAAGCAGCTTCCCTCTTATTGGATTATTTTTTCTTTCTTTTTTTTCTTGGTAGAATGTATCTTACAAGATCCAAGATGGAATGCAATCCTTGAAGATGCACTTTGTGTAAATTATTCAGGGCATAAGCATCACGCCCGCCATTGTGGTTGGCTAAGTGTTCAAGCTGTTATCAAAGATGATTCCTTCTTATCAGAGTTTCCAATGGTCTGGTTAGGTGTCGATTGAGTGATGGACTAATATATCTTGTCCGTCTCTAAAGTCTGACATTACGCTATGGAAGGGGTAATGGCACTATTGAAGTATCTGTACGCATCCGTATTGATGTTCTTCAACCTTCTAGCAGCACGTTTAAAAAGCTAATCTTATATAGCCATACCGGCAACAGGACCAAGTCGCAGACCATTCACTTCTGGGATTTCTTTTCTTCTTCTTTCAAAGCTACAGCTCAGTAGTTGGCCTTAGTTATGAGGCCGTGAATACGGCTACAATAGCAGTAGCACTAATTCCCGTCCCAGCAACTGTGTATCCTGTTTAGTGTCACAGAATTTACACTTTAAAGGTCTCATCCAAAAAGCGGCACTTATATATGGCCTGAGAGATAATCGTAGCCGTTCCGCACTCAAACACAAAGAAGAAACTACATGTGTGCCATACATGGACTATTGTCATGGAAGCCGCATTGATATTCAACGCTGCAGCGCTCGTATAGGGCTTTTATACGTACCTTGAGTCGTTTTGCTTGGGTAGAATTCATATGGGGTCTGCTGAACTTTCAAGAGTTCCAACTTAAATAACTATGACACCCAGGCTCCGCATGATCTTCAGAGCAATTCAGGTTCCCGTATGTACTAATGAATATGTTAGTTCGCCTCGTCACTCTTTCGAGTAGGACAAGGTGGCGTACGTGCTTTTTTAAGGTGCAGCCAGCTTTTCCATTTCCATGTTACGATTCCCTTCTAACCGCACAACCCCAATGAGTGGGCACATTGCTGGGTTCAAGTTCAGGCTGATCTAGGGCTGCCGCCGACCCATCAACAACTGAAGGAATTCGCTGAGCGCATCCTGAAGGTGCATGGAGATGTACAACCTCTTGGAAAGAACTGGGTGCAGTCCTTTATCAAAAGGAACCCATCAGTAAGGGTCCATAGGAGCAGAGCCATCGATTCACAGCGTATAAATAGAGCTACAACTAATATTATTAGGCCATGGTTCAGGCACCTCGCTATACCTGAAATTATGGCTATCAAACCCACGAACCGATACAATATGGACGAGACTGGTATCCTTGAAGGCAGTGGATCAAACGGACTTGTTCTTGGATCATCAGAAGCTCGTACTATTCGAAAGAAACAGCCTGGGTCCCGTGCTTGGACCACCCTCATCGAGTGCATCTCCGCAAGTGGCAATAAGCTACCTCCACTTGTGATATATAAGGGGAAGACTGTTCAACAGCAATGGTTTCCTTTGGATCTGACCCCATTCGGTTCTTGGAGGTTCACGGCAACAGAAAATGGGTGGACTTCAGATCCTACAGCTCTCGAATGGTTAGAAAAGGTCTTCATTCCTTCTACCCAGCCAGGCGACCCCCAAGAGGCCAGATTACCCATACTGGATGGCCATGGAAGCCACGAAACCACGGAATTCAAGTATATTGTGCTTTGAAAACAAGATACACTTGATCTTCTTGCCGCCTCATGCGTCGCATGTTCTTCAACCTCTTGATCAGTCAGTCTTCGGTCCTCTCAAAGCAACATATAAGAAGGAGCTTGGGAACCTTGATTGATCAATGGGATGGTAGCACTGTTGTGGGCAAAAGGAACTTCCTAGTATGCTATGGCAAAGCTCGGAGAGCAGCCCTGACAAAAAAGAATATCATCAGTGGCTGGAAATGGACTGGGCTATGGCCTGTGAGCATGGCTAAGCCCCTGATGAGCCCCTTGTTGCTTGAGAATTCGAAAACTCCTGCTTAGCAAGCTGGAGAGGGTTACAAAGGGTATCTCGATAATCAGGGAAATGGGAAATGGGCAGCAGATATATCAGCAGTGGCGTGGTCAACTCCTCGAAAGAGGGATGAGCTTCGTGATCAATTCAGCGTATTCAGCAAGCTCGATATCGATACTCCCACGCAACGTCTACTATTTCGAAAAGTTCAAAAAGGCTTCGATAGGAAGGCGTACGAATTGGCAGTTGCTCATCGAAAGATTGAAGTATTGCAGGCACAGGTTGATGCCAGTAGGGCCAGGAAGCGTAGGAAGGTTAAGATAAGCCCAAATTCGAAGTTTGCCGATATTGAAGCTATCCGGAGGACTCAAATCGAGGTTGGCGAGGTTGACGATGATTCTGATGAATCCAGCGACCTTGGAAGCCCCAGTGATCGTGAAGAATGCATTGTTGTAGCATCAGAACCAAGATAGAAATTAATTGAAGTTCATGGTTGAAGTATAAGCAAATCGAAATTAGGGTGGCCAAATGTGGGGGTTAGCCAAAAGTGGGTGACGGACGTTATAGACATATTGCCTAGCTAGCATAATCTGCCGTCTATCTTTCGATATCTCGAATAAACCTTTCAGCTACCCTAACCTTGACGCCACCATCTACTAGGAACTGAAAGCTTTGCTCCTCCCACAGTGGTTCCAGATCATACCCTTCCGCTAGTGTAAGAGATCCGCATCGTCTGGGCTGTTGCTTAAAGACTGGACCATTCACATGGGAACCATGCCAATCTGAGTATGTACCGACATTTGTATCTCGAGGCCCAGGGATCTCGATAGGGCTACGCGCCGTCATCGCCGCCGCATCAGATCATCCAGGCATTGCATCGGGGAAAGGGCCTTTGGTTCTCAGGGGCGAGGATGACAGACTGCGCAGGACTTGATAAAGCTGTGCCTTGAGGTTCATGTGGAAAGATGGGCCGCATACGCGACCTAGCGACCGTAGATGGCCTTGCACCATTCGCCATGAAGGTTGCTGCCGCTGATTCAACTCTAAATGAGGCATGTCTGCAAAGCCATGGTACCCCAAGCCTCGAGCGAGACTCGCGAGGAGTTTGAGAAGCATTGACCCGGCTCCTCGATTCACGCTGACGCAATGAATAGTCGCTATCAACTAGGCTTTCATCTAGTTCCTCCGTCATACAATCAGAAGCTCTGCGGACCAGCGCTGGGTCCGCTGATCCCACAGCTAAGGATAAGCCCGCAGAGTAGCAGCTGGTCCGTCTTTGACTTTGATTTGTTTCATCTCTCGAAACGGTCATGTTGCACCCACAGGTTTCGCGGCCGAAAAATGCGTCGAATACACAACGACGAACGAAGAGCGACGTAACACCAGAAACAGGCGCGCTAGAATCTGTCAACACATTCAGGAATATGTATGGCTGATCTCTGATGTGCTCGGCAGCGTAAGGCCAACCACTGCGTCTGCCTGTCTCGGCATCTTTCCAGATGCAGTCGTCCCGCGGTGCCCTGAGTCCATCCAGCTGCAATGTACTTGCGTAGTCCTCGGGTTGATTTGGGAGAGATGCATCCCACTCTGGTACATGCTCGAATACCGAAGATGTTCGCCCTTGCGAAAGGGTGCTGGGAATAATGTTTATGTCTCGCGTCAGTCCTGCAAGACTCTCGATGTGGTCGTTACGAAATCCTTGTCTCAATGCCAGCCGGGCAAGCTCACGTAGTTCACCACTATCCAAGATCTGTGGGACTGCGGTCGCGAAACGTCCTTTTGATTTCCTCCTCGGAGGCACTCGGCTGAGGCATCTCCGCGTAATGAAGAGCCAGATTTGTTTTCGACCAAGGTCGAATTGTAGCTCTGGAGACCCCGATGTTACATCTGACGCGGTGACGTTGACGAATGATCGTGCTGCAAGTTGCTTCCTTCGATTTCAAGCGCATTGAGTTTCGCATTGGATAGCTATATATCTGCAATTGAGCAAACAATGCTCTTGTAATGACACATGGAACAGCTTCGATGATTGAACGAGAATGCTCTATCAAGATGAGCCTAAATTGTATGCCCAGGTACAATGATTCCGGATCAGCTATAGTCCATTTCACTTGGATTTGCTAACAGCAATCTTGAGGCTCTCTATTCCCTCCTGAATCTGGTTGAGCGCTGCAATGATCTGGACTACGTTCTGGGATAGCCCGTCATTGCTGTCTTTCCGAAAGGAAGAGAGGCTCTGTCCAACATGCTTTGCGGAGCACTTGTGTCGGGAAACGTATACTGTCTAGAAAGCCAACTTTCCATGTTTTCAAAGCCGCGAGCCGGAACGTACTCGATCCTAAAATGGCGAATAAACAGGAGGGCTCAAAACAGATCTTTCCCTAGTTGCTGGAACACCGCAAAACCTGTAAATTCCCAGTAGAAAGTCTAATAAGTCATTCTCTGCTCATGAATATTGGTAAAACTGGAGCTATTCGAAACATCTTAATCCACGGTTCTATACATATTGGTTGCATAGAGTCAGAAGGAAACGACGAAAAATGGCTGAACACATCTACAGCAAAAAGCAGAAGGATAAGGCTCGCAAACGAGGCACGTCGCTGAAGAGGAAATGTGTCGAATTAGGAGAGGTAGCTCTCTTGCAAAACCCAAGCTCGCTTATTCAACGGAGACTCTTTGATATCGTCGTCGAATTTGGAACTGCCATCAGCTATGACTTTTTCTTTTAAAAAGCCGGCTCCGGAATCGCAAGCTGCAGATGCGGCTATGGTGCAATACGCTGCAGCAAAGATAGATTCCATTTTTTTGGACTCCTTTTCCCAATCCGCATCGTTATCTTGGACGATGCATATTGAATCATTCCAAATATATTCGACTCCCAGCTGTCGGGTGACCGCGATGCCAACCGTCGGTTCCAAGCGAAACAAGAGTACTGCTGCGCTGGCCCTTACGAAAAGGCTTGAGATTCATCTATCGTGATCTCTATATACATGTGAACCTACGCCAATCTCCTAAGGTGAGACACGCGCATTGCATTGGGGGGACTAATCACTAAAGGACATTCATCGTGTATGTGAAGCTAAAGATCCAGTGTGAAAGCAAAGATCGTTTGATATTATGGTGTTGTACCGTGGTGTGTAAAAGTATGACTGACTAACAAGGGCCTGATCAGGTGCCCCATTACAACATAAACTTTGTTCAAGGCACCTCAGCCTCTGATGCGGCCTCTCCTCGCTGTAAAGGAAGACGGAATATATATTTAGGACAGCAAAAAGTCAGACTAGGCAGAAGAAGGCCGTGGCTCCTGCGGGACCATGGAGAGCAGAAGTTCCGAGTAACCACTTCCCGATTCCCAAGCTCACAACTGTGAATTTCCGGCCATCTATCACGTATCCGATTTCTTTGAGGCTCTTGTCCTCAGCTTCACCATAACGAAGACCAAACCGTAAGAACTCAAGATAAACAACAAAACGATGCTTACATGAATCCATCCATGATCGTAGCCCTCTAATCTGATCGTAGAGAGATAGTCCCCACCCGTCGTGTAGGGGCAAACATGACAGGCTGACGTTGACTCGGGATTTATGAGGTTTGATCCCGCACTTTCGAGATATGGTGCCAAGTATTGGCCACATGTGGCGTTGTCAGGCGGGTCGAAAATGGCGAACTCCGAAGCACTGCATTTGACAGTAACGTCATATATGGTGAAAGTGAGGACGCTCCCAACCAGGTACGTAACAGGATTCAGATAATACAACCAGTATTTCCAGAACGCCACGATCTGGCCATATGGCACCAAGATTCCACAAAAGGAGATCATAGTTCCGACGATGAGTGGGTTGAGAAGGGCCGCGAACACAGCGTTCGGAGCGTATGCCGCGATGAACTGTCCGATACCAGTGTAAAGAAATCCGTAGATGATGACGACAAAGCACGTCGCACCAGCGGTACGGGACTCGGCTGGGAACCCGACGACGTAATACCAGCACAAAAAGTATAGCACGCCGCAAAACAACAAGTACGGCGCTTCTGACAGCACCAAAGCTGTTACGAGAGCTTTCCAAGAGTATATACGGGATTTCTTCTCTCGCGCGTCATAGATGTCCCGCCTTTGGATGAAAAGAGGCTGGAGCTGATTCACAACACCAGATGCGACAAACATCCAAACGAAGACAGTAAAGAGTCTCAACTGTATATCCTGGACGGTGTCGCCGACTTGCCAGTATGTGAAGCCATTGAATAGTGCAAGGCCTATATGCAACGCCACCTTGTTGTTGATATAAGGTGTATTACGATATAGCGCAATATTCATGCGACGCAATACAACTCTTATTTGGAAGAGCAGTGGTGTGGCAAATTCCTGATCGTCGGTATTGAGTTCTGTGGATATGGGTAGTGGCTGAGTCATCACTTGCAACTCTTCAACGACTCTGTCGTGCTCTGAGGACTTCAGCCAGATGTTGTTCCAGTCTACATCAGAGAAGTGACCAGAAACAACGTCGATCATATGTTCAGCAGGGTTCGCGTCATGAGGGCAAGGAGCACCGTGCTTTGCAAAGTATCCCGTTACAGTCTCGGCATTGTCACCAATGTCTCCGAAATAGACTGTCTTGCCACCTCGTGCAAGCAAGAGGAGCCGATCGAATTGTGTAAATAGTTGTGCGGACGGCTGATGTATAGTGACCAGAACAGCCTGCCCGGCATCGGCGAGCCTTCTCAAGAAGCGAACAATGTTATAAGCCGCTTGACCATCAAGGCCGGAGGTCGGCTCATCCAGAAACATGAGAAGCTTTGGCTTGGAGACCAGTTCAACTCCAATCGTGACCCGTTTGCGTTGTTCGATGCTCAAGCCAGGCCCATTACCGGGAGTGCCGATCAGTGTGTCGGCTATGTCGTGAAGCTCTAGTAAGTCAATTACGACGTTAACATATGCCAATTTGTCCTCCGATGAAATGGTGTGTGGTTGACGTAATAAAGCCGAAAACTCAAGCGCCTCACGCACCGTGGTGTATGGCTCGTGCACATCGAGTTGTTCGCAGTAGCCCGTCGACCGCTGAAATGATAATGCCGTAGGGTGTCCGTCTATGAGAATGGAGCCACTGATATGGCCATCGACTTTTCTCTGCGCAAGAACATCCAGCAAAGTTGTTTTCCCCGCACCTATCCCGCACATGTTAGGGTACCGTAATTTCAGAAAATAAATGGAGGCACAGGTCGAAGGGATTGTTGCTTACCTGACGAGCCCATCAATGCGGTCAGTGTTCCTGGTTTGACCCATCCCTCGACCTGGTCAAGGAGGACTTTGGGTCCAGCCGGGGTGTCGATCGTGTAGCAGAGATTATTCCACGTAAATTTTGAAGTCGTACGTTCGAGTTGACCTCCCGCAATTGGATTGTCAACCAATCCTGCGTCTCCTGGTAACGCTGATACCTTTTCTTTGATGTCCACTGATCGAGCTTCTACATCGTCTGACAATGCTTGGTGATGGTTCACGAGCTCTCTCGGTATGAGAGTATGGTTTGCAGAAGACCCGTTGTCTCTCCAATTTATTGTAGCCGCGACAGTAACGATGGAGTAGAAGACATTTAACCCACAGAGGATCCCAAAGTTGCGCCAAACATGGGAGTGGTCATACGATAATGACTTGAGATATTCATCTCCGGTCAAGTATGAGAAACCCTGCTGGGCTCCCTTGATTCCGGCGCATGATTGAAATTCTGAGTTGGTATATGCCTCCCCACTTGGTATCAAATTCCCACTCACGCAATCGATGTGCTTGAGATGGAACTCGTTAGCCATAAGGCTTTCGAAAGCGTAGGCCAATGGGTTCAGCCAGTACATCCATCCGAACCACGGGTGCATTTCAGTCTTTGGAATCTGATACCCCGTATACATAGCCATGATGCTGATGATGTAACCGGCATACTTGGCGGCGCCATCAAAGGTTTGGGAACAAGAACCAACCAATCTGAACAGGGAGTTGCAGCAGAGTGTGGTGATGAACAGAGTGATCCAATAGGTGAAGAAGTGAGAAGCAGATGAATCCAGGCCTACCAAGAAATAGACGGGAAGAGACCACAATGTGATTTGCAACAGATTGAGTGGCAGATCCACAAATATCTGTGCAATGCAGATCGACAATGGACTGTTGAAGGCTAAGCCCCTGTGCTTGAGATGCACGGGTCGCCCAGCGAAAGAGTCTATGACCTCGGACATAGCTGTCAAACTGTGATACAGGACAGACCAGTTGAGAGCGCCCGCCTTGAGGAATAACCCAGAAGAATTATCCGGTGCATTGTAATAGAGTGATCCTGCTATCAATGCCTGTACGAGGGTCGATCCTTGTCTCATGGCGAACGTAGCCTTGTCACCAGCAATGATCTGATAGTTACGCAATATGGCAACGAGAACCTGTGACAGAAGATCTGCTGTTGTTGGACTTGACTCTGAGTGTCTCTCGAGGGCTGCGCTAGCACAGAACTCTGCTGTACGAAGTTGAGCTTCCTCGGATTGTGCATATCCCTGTTCGAGCATCATCGACTTGTGGATCGGGGATTGTTGGTAGCGTTGCTCAAATGCCTCGGCATCTCGCGGAAATGATTGTTCAAAGGTCGGTCGAATTCGACGTTCTGTTGGAACAGTGACCGCCGTCAGAAAATCAGCGATGTTGGCGCCACGGGGGCAAACAAAACCAAGATCTTCCATGAAAGCTCTGGCTTGCTGTGCTGGCCCGTAATAGATCTGTCTCCCGAGATCCAAGACTAGTACTTTGTCGAAAAGGTTGAAGATGTCATTTCCGGCTTGGTAGAGTGTAACAACTGTCGCCAAACCATAAGTGTCTGTCATGGCGCGGATAGCTTTTGCCCACGCCACAGCATTGGTCGCATCTAAACCACGCGTACTGTTGTCCCAACAGAACACAGAGGCTCGAGAGGCTAAGCACTCCATCACGGAAACTCGCTTCCTTTCGCCGCCAGAGACACCGCGAACGTACTCGTTTCCGACTTTAGTGTTGATTGTGTGCGATACACCTAAAGCTTGCAGTAAAAAGTCTTCCATCTCAGAAGCATACGTCTTGGCATCAGTTCCCTCAGGCAAGTTAGCAGGGACCTTTAAACGAGTGGCGAAGTCCATCGTCTGCTTGACTGTCAACGAAGGAAAGAAAATTTCTTCTTCTGTATTCATGACAATGTTGGCCCGATATTTCTGTGCCTCGGCTGACGTCATGCTACCGAAGTGGACATCGCCGAGGATTTCCGTGTAGCCGGCTCGTCGGTTCGAAAGTATGTTCAGTAACGTTGTGCAGCCTGAGCCAGGACGACCTAAGACGAGCAGCATCTCTCCGGGTTTCACACAGCCATTTGACTTATGGAGGATTGTGCGCGTTGGAAGTTTTTGGCATCTGGATCGTAGTCGTGCTGCCAAATTGAATTGTGAAAACACATTCTCGTTTACGGCTGCCTCCGCACTCAAAGCTTTGACGGTTAACTGTAACGACTAAAGTCAGCAATGGATTTCTCGCAGGTTGTCTTCATATAGCGAAACGGTCTGATGTTCTAATGACTGCAATGACTCGAACAGGTTCGAATGAGGAAAAGGGAAGGGAAGGGGGTTGGGGGTTGTACATTGTTCCAGGTCACACCAAGTGCTCTCGATCCATATCCCGCTGAAACATCTCTCTGGTGCAGCTCTCTCAAACTTTGCGTCAACGGGAATTCTTCGCTATCCGTGGGGCCGCTCTGGTCTGTATCTGAGCCTGAAGAAAACGGCGTCTTGGGCGGCATGTTCGCCATCTTATGCAAAATACGCTTTATTTCACTCCAGGAGGAAGTCGTTTGCTGGAGACGTTTGTAGCCAATGGAGCTTAAGAAGTAGCAAAATGTTGTATAATAAATCTTTAGAGTATCTAAACCGCTGATTGAAATCGAAAGATTCGAGAATCGTTATATATTTATTTTTATCTAGATCGCTCCCCCTACTGATTTTTTTTTTCTTCATCCTCTTCTTTCCGGTCTGTTCCCGAAAGGATCACGTATCCGGATTATCGGGCAATTCAGCAGTGTCGTGTTATTCTGCTATGATGGACAAGGTCAGTGGCTAAGTTCGGAAGATTACAGCCTCGATACCTTAATAAGTGGAGACGCGACCCTTGCTCGGAATCCGTACTTGCCGAAGGTGGATGCGACTCGGAAAGAAAAAAGTAGATTACAGCCTCGATACCTTAATAAGTGGAGACTAGACCCTCGCTCGGAATCCGTACTTGCCGAAGGTGAATGCGACTCGGAAAGGAACAAGTAGTTCCAGCTACGGGCCGTTTTCCTCTTTGACCTTTTACCACATTCCCATATTCTATGCCTTTATGTCAGGGTATTGCTCGGATTTGCAACCTGCACAGTCATTCGTGATTGGTTAGAATCTACCATGAGCAGCCGCAACGGAAGACTTCGTGCTGTATGTCCTCTTTCCACCCTCTTGTTTATCTCATTTGTTCGCCGCTTCGCACGCGAAGAATTTTCACTGACTGTCAGTGCCGTAGTGCGATCTGTGTCATGCACGGAAGGTATGGCTTCTTCCTGTTCTGCAGTCTTGCAATCAGTCAGTTAGCTCAAGTGGACTTAATCGTTTGTTAGGTACGATGCAGTCGAGAGGAGCAATGCCAAAACTGTGTCTTGGCCAATGTGGCGTGCATACGCTCCCGAGCCAGGTATCAACGTGGCATCCGAAAACAACAGTAAGCTACGCCTATCTCAATTGTGCGCCCATGAAACCCGATCAAGGCTGATGCCGATCTGTCAAGAGTACCCTGGTCTTCAGTCGGCCACAGCGGAAGCGCCGCGTCGGGACGTGGGCTCGCCCCACGGTCTTTCGGTCTAAATATGGCAGAAGCTTCTGTCGAACATCCAAGCAACCACAATTCCCCATCGTGTCAAGCATACGTCGACAAACAAAGAGATCCTCACGAACTTCGCCATCTACGCAACGACGTCGAAGGCGTTACATTCGCAGCAACTGCCGATACTACAGAAAATCTTTTCCGAGACGAGCTTGGTCTACTTCCTGATCTACCATCTCATCGAGTTGAAACGCTCGAGTCCGCGCTGTCCCTAGTCACCAAGTTTGCCCAAACTTCTCAACGCACTCACAATGAGCCGCACAAACCAGATCTTCGAGTCGATGTGGCCGTGCCCGATCAAGTTCCTGCCGAGGTGTTCTTCCTATTGTTAAACTGTAAGCTATTGTTCACCTAGCCTAAACTGACACTTCCTACAACTGATCGTAAATAGGTGATCGTGAGCACCGTAATCTATGTCACTGGCCTGATCACATTTCTGTGGATACTCTTGAACGAATGTGCAAAGTTCTCGGTCAGGGCACGGCAAGTTTGCGGACGGAGACAGAGTATAAGGTTTGTGTTTTCTCGAAAGCATTCGCATACATCAACCGTTGGCTCCGAATTTGTGCACCCGGACCCATGACCGCAACCTTTCAAAGATCCCTCGATCTCTATGCAGCAGCCTGCTTAAAGCACTTGAAGCAGCTCGACCTCATCAGCCCTCCTAATCTTGCGACGTTACAAGCTCTTCTATGCGGTGTATGTCACAGTCTTCCATACTGCGTTCCTCGATCATCGTCCCAACTAAGAAATCATAACAGGCAGGTCTGGTCTCGTTACTCGGTAAAACATCACAAGCTTGGTCATTGACGGCTTTGGCATCACGATTAGCTATCAATTTGCATTATCACACTCTCACCCAGGAGACCTTGAACAGACCAGGCTTTACAGAGGTCCGCCACTTTGTATACTGGTGCTACTACATGGACAAGACTCTGAGCACGATCCTCATCCGTCCCTCTTCTCTGCCAAATTTACGAGTCGATCCTACCTCTCTTGTGTCAGCAAGTAAGGAGACTTCACTGAGCTCGAAGATAGAGATCATGGTAAAACTTGCCCAAATTCAAGATCTCGCCCTCCCGCTTGTCACAAAGACCTCGGGCGCTACCAGTATAGAGGTATCTGCGCTTGTTGACCGTCTTGAAGAGAAATTATACGGCATTCGAGAGAACATAGACCAGGTATGTGAAAATGTTTGTCAACAGGATGAGGCTGACTAATTAAGCTTTCTCCATCATGGTCCTCAACTCCCGCGCTTCAGGTCGAGCTGGATGGCATCTATTTCATGTACTACTCTGTGTTCACCACCTTGCTTCGTCTGCACCCAGCTTCGCTACACGATCCTCGGAAGCGTGGAACTTGTTTACAATATGCACGGAATGCGTTGCTGTCCATGGGGCAGTTACGTAGCTATATTGAAAGCCCCACCAACACTGGTACTGACTATGTGTCATGGTACGTCCTTTCCCTCTCACAAAGTCAGAGTATCGTCAACGGGTTCTGATGAGACTGCAGGTCTATAATTTTGTATCCGCTCACTCCATTCTTTATTGTCTTTTGCAATGTGGTGGCTACTTCTAACCAGGAGGATGTCGCATTACTTCGCGCCGTAACAGACGTGATGGGACTGATCAATGAAAATTGTTCCACGGGAAGGTGTTTACATAATTTGTTTAGTCAGTTTGTTGATCTATGCTCGCGTATAGACAGCAATCATGACAAGGACCCTTACCAGGACAACTCAATTCGCAACGACGAAAACCGGGGACTTGATGTCCGGATGCAATCTTCGAAAGATGCTACAACAAGCTTCCAAAATCTCTCAGGGGTGGGTCTCTCGTTTCGTGCACCGTACGTCACTTACGATACCCCGGCAGAGAACAGCTTAGAGGAGGGAACATTATACGACAGATCTATCTGGGATGATAGTCTTATGTTGCAATTATTCAATACGCAACCATCAATCGACTGGTTTGAGCCAACAGTCCACACTGCAGTTAATTGATATAGATGCATATTGCTACTATCTAAGAGAATGTGGTACAAATAAATGGATTATATTAGCTCACCGTGGCCACTATGGAGTGCATGCGATGTACCACAGGTTGGCTTATGTAGGTAAGGCCTTTGCTCGTGTTAAAATGTAAGCAAGGTTTTGCCAGCCTCCCGCTTGCCCACATTTTGAAGTCGAACACATCATAATTTCTATGGGTTGTTTCTGAAATCCAATCTTGTCCACTTGTAGAAGCAAGAAAGGGGTATAGAACCTGAGAAATCGACCCCTGATTTAATTAATATTTCGCGATCCGGGCCTTGCGTGGTTTGATCTATACGCTGAAGATAACACCATTGTGTACTGAAAGGTTTCTGAAGGCTTTTCATGCAGCTGTGAATTCTTCATCACCATTCTGCTGGGTTCGACTTCCTGTGGTCAACCTTCAGGAGAGCGATGGGCTTTGCGACCGATTCAGCTTATTTAGCAAGCTTGACAACGATGGGCACACGCACCGTCTACTGTTTCGGAAGGTTCAAAGAGGCTTTGACGGGAAGGATCATCAGCTAGCAGTTGTCTAGCGGAAGTTGCATAAGCATAGCAAAACAATCAATATAAGAATTGATTGAAGTTTAGAGGTGAGAATATAAGGGCATCGAAATTGAGGGTGCCAAAATGCGAGAGGCATCGAGAAGTTTGTGAGGAAAGTTCATGAGAGTTCGACTTCTGTTTTCCAGTCTTCTGTATTATGTTTGACCGTACAAAACGAGTCGATTCGGGTGTAACAAAGCCCGAGATATCTAGCAACGACAAAGCTTTGGTGAAGTTCCCGTTGATTTCTAGCTGGCCGCAAGGGACACTCTGGGTGCGGATGGACTTTTCAGGGCAGCCATATCCAATGTCAAGTACTCTTTGGTGCCCATGTATGGCTCAAAGCTATATAATATGCTCTGATCTCTTTGTCTTCGATGTGTACGATCATGATTACTTTGATAACTCATTCTACTATGGTCGTCGAGATCAACAAGTTTTGTGGAAGAAAATCTCACACGAGGCATTGGCAGCTCGACTAAAATGTCACTGCGCTCACTAGTATCGACCAGACATTTGCAATCTGAACGCACTTTTTTTTTTTTTTTTTCTTTTTCCCCAAGTTGAAGACATGTCCGGAACGCGAAGGTGAGTCGATTGTTTTTGATCAGACAGCGACGCTTGATTCGCTTCCTTAGGAGCCTTCAATTGCGAAAGGCCATTACTCTGGCTCAGCATGGTTAAGTACACGAACTAGACTGAAATTTCACTTCAGGTCGGATCATAATCTGCAAAGGCATGCCAGCATGTTAATAGTACTTTACTATATCTAGCTAAAAGTCATACAGGACTCGTCCCCACCAAACATGTTATCCCAAGATGCTATGTCCCAAGGCAATGCATACGAGGTCAGTTCTGTGACTATAGCAGATTGACCTTCCGTATCACTAGTCACCCGTCGGATGATATCTTCCACGTTGAAGTATCGTATATCTGAGGAGCACCTCACTTTCTTATCCAAATCAAGCAGCGCATCGAGCATGCGCGCGCTTCTTCTAGCAATGGAGCTTGCCGATATAGCAAGACCAATGCAGCGACGTCCAGCCTCCGCAAGACAACGCATTTTATCGCCGTCGTACAATAGCGCGTTTTCGTCACGAAAAATCGACGCAAAGATCAGGATAACGCAACACGTTGTCAAATGAGTAATGACTGTCCACATTCTGCGGGTGATATTGGCTGATGGACTGTCCGTCCAGGACTTCACGTTCAATATGCTCTGCTCGGCGATACTCAGGCAGGATAACTTTTCGGCTCTCGAGTCATTAATTATAGGGAAGAAAATAGCCGTTAGATGAACAAAGTCTTACCTGTGTAAAAGCAAAACGTCGATCCCTGAAGCTCTCGAGCTGAAAGTGCCGATGTACTGAAAGAACCTGGGCTTTTCAGTCAGCATATCGTTCCCGTAGATACTGGACCCACTCTGTGGGTGCCGTACCTTGTGCGCCATTGATAGCAGCCCAACATGTGCCTGTTGCTTTATCAACGGCGGTAAGAGATCATTGCTGTGGGTCGACAATGGGTTCAAGAAGTCGGGAAGTTCTCTAAGTACACGCTTAAGGCCCTGGTCTGCCCAAATGACCTGGTCATATAGTTTCAATATGTTATCGGGGCTTTTACTGGGATGCCCAACTTGACACATACGATCCTGGTGTTTCCAAATAATGACAGCAACTGTGACGCATTAGTGGCTACTTTGGCGTGTTTTCGTCGTTATTCACAAACTGATCTGGGAACTGCAAAATCAAAGCGTTTATGATAACGGTGGACTTACTGTGGTTGATTGGGCTGGAGTAGCTATTTTGTGTATACACGTCATCGGGTTGTGACACGACCTTTCCATCTCTGATCATAAGCTCTGGTTCATCAAAGCAGTTAATAGGCATGGGACTGTTGAATTGCGATGCATGCACGAGGTATGTGTTTTGGAACGGTATCTGCAGCCAGTCCTGTCTGATAAGAAACCACCACACTCGTTTCTTGACCTCTCTTTTAATCAAGTATCGACTCGCAGCATCTAAGGTCATTTGAAGAGTGAGGTCTTCCCGATCCGGTCCAAGGCGATGCATGTTAAGGCATTGGCAGATCTTGATTGCTGCAGCCACAAGCACAGAAATCATATCGGACTGGTCAATGTTGTGGGATATCTGCAAAAGGACACAGATGGCCTGCGCGGAGAAGATGTTATGCTTAGAAGTGAAATTCCCCTCGTATAGACATTGCATACTTTTGTCATGAAGGACTCTGCCGGCTTGCAAAGTTTCTGTACAATGTTTAAATGATTAGCATTGGTCACTGACGCTATATTCAAAAGCTCCGTGCGCAGATAGGTAAACGTACCAGTGCATTCAATGCCAAGTTCTGCCAATTGAGCCTCGCTTGCATGATAGAAAGTTGTCTGCATACTACATGTGAGAAGGCCGGATACAAACAGACGGGTGTATGATACTAACACTAAGGATTGCATAATACAATGCCCTCCAACAGGCATTAGCCGGTCGTGTGAGGCTCATCTCAAATTCAGATATAAACGATGGCATATGCACAACATTGTGCATCCATGCCAGGTTTTCCTGATGGAACAACAGCAGGCTGCGTACTTCCTCGGGAGAGAGGATCGTATCCCAGGCTATCGGCCCTTCACTGGATGGTTGGTACTCATTTTCGTCTGACAAATCATCTGACAACTCATAATTAGAGTTTGAGTTTAGAATGTTCTGCCGGCCATGAGTAAGGAACTCCAAAGTAACAACAGTCTCGTTCATGATACCGCTTCCGTCTGCTCTGTCGCTTGCTGCAGCCTGGCCATCTGCACTGCCAACATTGGCTTCACTTGCAGACAGGCTAGTAAAGTGCTCACTGCTGCCGTCAAGGCTGGCAGCGGAAGATTGACGAGTATTGTGGTGTAAAGATGCAGACTGTACTTGGTTTCGGGGATCCGTCTCTGTTGGAATGGCGGCTCCGGGTACAACCCTCGGGAACTGAGTCGTCTCGGCCGTGGTCAGTCGGGGCTCCAAGGACGAACCAGGCAGACCGCGAGCAGGACCTGATTCTTCGCGACAACATGCATCCGCAATGCCGCGGTCCACACACGAAGTGCATGGAACATTCTTAGAACATCTTTGTTTCCTCCGGGCACATTCTGTGCATGTGAGGATCTGTCGTTGGCTTTTCCGTTGTCGTAGACCACTTTTCTTAATAGCGCTGGCCATCAGTGGCTAAAGCTCTAGGTAAGAAGACACGATTGAGTGTCTGAAACGGCCAGTCCGGTCCGCACAGATGCTAATCGTGAGTTGCTGGATGATTCATTTTCACTTTGTAATGCGGGGGCGCTCGGCGGAGAGGGTGATACATCATTCGTGCCGGCCCGAGCATCGGACTATCTGTCTTCCGAGGATGTTTGTTACTAGCCTGTCGGGCGGGACCGGCCTGCACCAGAGGTCTGGAGCACGCATTACATATCAGATAAATTAGTCTGGTTAATCGAATCTCCTCGGGTGAACATAACTTGAAGCTAGGGAGATAAAGCATGCCAACAGAAATTACCGTGCGTCGTCTTGTTCTGTGGGCCGCCCGCGAGCGTCTGTTGTTATCTCGGCCGCGGACATTAGAGCCATGATAGGCGGCATCTCTTGTAATCTGTATGTTGTAATTCGACGACCTCGGATTATCATCATCCATGCTAGCTTGATCGTCTTAACTTCCACCCGAACTGGTTACGGAAGAGCCTTGGCATTCAAGATATTCATCGGCTAGGTTCCTGATAAGGCGTCGGTGTGGTATTCAACACAGTTTTTGATGCGATACTCTTTGCAGCAGAAACCGGCTTATTTACACATAAATGCCATTAGGTATCTCCTGAAATGATAATAAATAAGACTAATTCTATATTTTGAACTTGCGTTTTGACGCATTCTTGAGCCCGTCAATTTCATCAGACTTGCCTTAGACAGCCCCTGGTCGCCATGTTGCATCCGCAATCCTTTACGGAAAGGCGTAAAAGAGTCATTTCCACCCTAACAAAACCCCAAGCATGGAAACTCTCGGTGGAGCACTCAACTCTAGCACCGGCAGGTATTGCATCAAATAAAGGTATCAAAATTCATACACATCAAGTTTCCTATGTATCTCTGCTTAGTTGAACCAATCACTTACCTTGTGTAGATCAGGACCCAGCACCGGAAGGGTTGCAGACATGGACGGGCTGGGACTTTGCTACCTACTGGATGTCAGATCTGATCAATGTCACAAGCTGGCAGATTGCTTCGTCGGCGTTGTTGGTCGGACTGAGCACAGTAGATGCAATTATCATCACCCTCCTTTCTGGAGTCCTGAATAGCATACCCACAGGTATGTCGCACAGCGTCCCAATACGAACGGAGAATTGAACTTTGTGGTGACCGCGATTGGCAATGCAGCAATGAATGGTGCACCCGGTAGTGACCACCATATCCCCTTCCCCATCGCGATTCGCTCAAGCTATGGCTTTTATCTTGGCTATTCTTGCGTGGTCTCCCGTGGTGTCTTGTCCATTGTCTGGTTTGCTGTCAACTGCTGGGTGGGCTCTTTTGCTGTGACAGAGGTCGGTATCTCCTATCAGAACTGCTTTACTTTGATCTATAATTGCTAAAACCTGCTTACAGACAATCGCTGCCTTGTGGCCCGAATACAAATTGATCGAGAACCAACTTCCTACAAATGCTCGAATTACATCGCTACAAATGACTTCTTATTTAGTCTTCTTCTTGATACAACTACCTTTCTTTTTCATTCCTATGACAAGGCTCAGGTCAGTATCGGTTCTTTGTTTCCACGTGATGACGACTTGAGCAGCTACTGACCCGTCTGAAGAAAATTGTTCCGCTGGAAGGCGATCCTCCTGATCCCAGTCTCGATTAGCATGGTTGTCTGGATTTGCGCCAAAGCCGGAGACTTGCAAGGAATCTTCAATCAGCCTGCAAGCGTTTCTGGCGCCACTCGCACATGGCTGTGGCTATCGACATTTAGTGCGACGACAAATTCATGGCTGAGCTCGGCAATTAACATGTCGGATTTCGCCCGTTTCAGTAAGACAAGGTAGGTACTTTCATTACGGCGAGGATTTGGTTGCAACTGATAATCATGCTAAGACTCTTTTTCTTTCACTACCTAGATATGCTCCATATTCACAAATTCCGACGATCCCGATAATCAAGACAGTTTATGCAGTCTTGGGTATAGCAACTGTGGGTGCTAGTCGTGTCTTATATGGGGCCGACATCTGGAGTCCTGTTGAAATTTTGCCACTATGGACAGGATCTGGCGGTCGATTTCTCGCATTCCTATGCGGGTGCCTCTGGATTCTCGCGCAGATCTCATGCAATATCTCGGCCAATGCTGTACCTTTTGGTCATGATCTCATGAATGTCTTCCCCATGTGGATCAATGTGCGGCGGGGGACGATTCTCTGTCTCCTCGTCGGTTCGTGGGCTGTCGTGCCTTGGATGCTAGTCAATAGTGCAGCCGAATTCCTTCAGTTCATGAACGGGTACGGTTGTGTTGTATGTGGAATCGTGAGCATCATGATTTCCGACTATTGGTTGGTACGCCGGAGGAAACTGGACATACCAGCGCTGTACGACCCGCACGCACGCTATCGTTACTTCGGCGGTTTCAACTGGAGGGCGGCAACAACTCAGCTTTGCTTCATGGCGTTATCACTGCCTGGGTTGATCAACCAGATCAGCCCTTCCGCCACCATACCGGATGGTCTTTTGCACTTGTATGAGCTGAACTGGTTCATAAACACTTTAGGACCATTGTTACTCTACTGGATGCTGTGGAAATTTTGGCCGGCTAGGGAAACTTTGGTTTCAAAGACGATTTCCGCAGTAATTATACCAAGTATGGGCGAAGATGTTGGTGAGGGAATGGGCTCGTCAGTAGGTATGAGGGGCAAGTCGGAAAAGCAAGAAACTACGTCTCATATCTGATTCGAATGGTCTAGCTTTAGGCTCTGATGGGTTCGATATAGACAGCTTGTAACTAGTGAGTTCTCCTTATAGCATGACACGATATGCAAATTAGATGTAGAGTTTCACGTAGTGCCTACTAAGCTTTTCGTTTTATGATTTTGGTGTATATTACATCCACAGCCTGTAAGTTGGAGTTCATGATGATACAAATACTAGGTGCAATGTCGGTTCTCTCGGCATTGTGGTACAGTACAATCCCCAAAGTCCACAGGTTCCTTACCAATCTGCTATAAATATAAACACATGTCTATCGCCGCTGAAACAGGAGACAAACGCAAGAGCAGTCTTTATTGAATGAACACGCACCGTTTGGTAATCTGTTCTTGCATCTGTCTCGCCCTGGCGAACGCTTTGTGGCAGAATTTCAAGCTTCAATGGATGTTGCCTTTGGAGGCTGAGCGAGCGCCCTGCTGCTTTGTAGCTTGCTCCCCAGCAGCACGAATCAGACATACTACAGTAAGCCCACGTTCTGATCAATAGGCTAACACGAACTTGTTCTGTCTTCTGTTTTTTCAATCTATGATATCCATTTGTTTTGAAACAACTCTACACAATACCTGCATTGGCTTCCGCAACAGAGAGCTCGCCCACGGCCTTTTCTTTTGATGTGCCATAGGTGTCCGCATATCTCCCCGAAATCCATTCCCCAACCGTGACTGAAGGATATTTTGCGACGGCATTCTGGCCCAAACACTTGGAGAAGCATTCAACTAAGAAGTCAGGGTTCCCGGAGAAGAAAAATGGAATGCTGTAACGTTCCTTGCCCGATTTGTTAATCACGCGGTGTAAGTTCGAAATGTAGCGGTCGTTAGTCCATCGCATCATGAGATTTCCAAGATTGACAACCAGTGCACCGCGCTGGGGTGTCACGTCAGCCCACCTGTTGTCGGCACGATCCCAAACTTGAAGCCCGCCGATCATATCCTGAAGCAAGATGGTCACAGCACCAAAGTCGGTGTGAGCTCCGATGCCTATAGTCAATGTTAGTCCAGCTACTGAACGTCGGGTTTTGATTACCGCAGTTACCTCGTTCCAATTCAGATGCATCCGGCGCCTGTGGAGGATAGTGAAGCAAGCGCAGAACGGCGATAGGTACGTCGACAAATCCCGACACCCAGTCGTCTGTGATATCTAGTGTTCTGCAGAGAGCACGAACAAGGTTCTCAGCCAGTTTGATTGCTGAATCAGTATAACTGTCGATGATTTCCTTGAACTTGGTCGGGTCGCTGACTGCGTCGGGGTACTTATTTGGGCCGAGGTTAAACTTCTTTGATACCACAGCAGGGTGGGATTCAGGAAGGTCAATGCCCAAATAGTAGCCCTCCTTTAAGTCACCATCGGTTCGCTTCTCGAAGTTCTGGGCACGAAGCCTCTCGTACCCTCGGTTGTAGCCTCCCAAGTCTATGATTGGATCGAAAAACATTAGATACAATTATTGTGACCATAGCAAAGCACGTGTCCATTACCTTTATTGTATTGCTCTTTTTTCTCGATAGGGAGTGAGAAGAAGTCTGCACTCTGTTCCAACATGGAGTCGAGAAGTGATTGTGGAATTCCGTGGTTGATCAGGGCGAAGAAGCCATGGGTCTCGCATGCGCTTCGTAGCTGTTCGATGAGTTGTGCCTTCGCGTCCTCATCTTGGCCGAACCATGCTGCCATGAGATGAGCATAATTTCCTTGTGTGCCTAGGGAGAACGTTCAAGACCTACCCTGGAAATCGATAGTGGGGATAGAGCCCATGGTCGCGAAGTGCACTAGATAAGGTTGAATTGGTGCTTAGCGTACTGCCTGCTGTTGCTGGTGTTATATTCTTTGCTGGGCCGCGGCAAAAAGTCAAGTATTGAAGTATTGTTCCCCTTTCCGGAGATGAGCAATACCTGCTCTATTTATGACTGGCGCTTAATACTGGATGACTTGACAGGAGGACTGTTTATTTGCTTCTCTTTTGGAGGAGCTTGTTCCCGAATCCGGCCGAAATGTTTTATCCGACAAACATCGCCCGAAGCGCTTATCGCTGAGATCCGCGGCCGATAAGACTCGAAGCGCCAATGATCGTCCATGGTCGAGAACCAAGCCGGCCGAACAAAAGATAAGTGTTGAATAGTACTATTGTCCGACAGAACCAAAAGAGACATGTCCCTATGGATTAGGAACTTAACAGGTATTATCTGACACACCCCCTTAGCTTGGGCGTAATTCTTTACGGGCGAGCTGGATATCCAGTATTTTAATAGGCTTTTTAGCTCCGTTACGTCCTTTTTGCTGGACGACGTAGCTAGGGATCGAACCCGGAACCTCTTTTTATTCGGTGCATTATCAGTTGTGCTACGAGGTTATCGCGGAAGTGTATAGGTCGCTAACCCACTGGTTAATGCACGGGTGGCCTTTGCGAGCGAATAAAACTCTTAATTGTTAACTAGTATTATTATACCAGGTTGGCGCTTAAGAAAGACACACTGCGGAGCAGGGACCACGGACCCAGACCCCAGGGACAGTCACCATTGCCAGTTGTCAATAAGTGTTGACAGGATCGCGTCCTTGGCAGCGCTCCAGAACAAAGGATCGTCTGGATCATGACGATCCAGGACAATGAGGATCATACATATTGGTACGATCCAAGCAAATATCAGTGAGGGAATAAATGGATATGTTAGGGACGGATTTCTTACGGTTACATAGATAGTCATTACTTTAGTGATCAATTTAAGCATCTATCTTACCCATAGGTAAAGCATTTAATACGCTTTAACGACTATACTTGTGATTCAGTTTAAGACTACTTTAGTTACTCTTTGCTCAGTACAGTTGTCACGGCGCTGGGCGCGCTGCCGCTGGGCAGCTAGCGAAGGGACCCGGGCGCCAGCTGTGGGCGGCCCGGGTGGATCCCGCAACTGCAAATATCTTCACCGACCTGTCGGAACCTGAATTGTAGCTCTTCGAGCTACGTCCTATCAATTAACCTACTATAACGATGAGCCGTTACCTGTAGACCTGTCAGACTGTAGTGAATATACTGCTATACGGCACAAGCCTATACTGCCCGCCCGCACCCCGTGACATAATCACTAAAATAATAACTGTCTATATAATATAGGAAACCTTTCCTTGATATATCTATTCATTCCCTTACTAATGGGATGGATCATACTCGATAATCCTAATAGCTTATAGTTTTAAGCATAAGGCTTATGCTTGGCGCACCATAATCCAGTCATGATCCATAAGTGGTGGCTCTTGTTGCCAAGACCATAATCCGTCAACAACCGTTGACACTTATGGCGGGGTGCTGACACAACCGCGGGGCTCCTGGCTTTTCTGTTGGTCTGGTTCTTGCGCCTTCGTGACTTTCCTTCTTCCGTTAATCCTTCTGCAAGGGTACGTGTTTGTATGTTCGTAACAATAAAGCCTGTGAAAAAGCTTTAAAAACGATATAACAAGAATATTACAAACATGCACCTTTGCCAAAAAAAAAAAAAAAAAAAGGGGTAGTGCTTAAAAAAGGAAAAAGGACACACTGCGGGGATGTCACGCGGGCCGGATCAATAGATAGTCAGGTACGATATGGTATTGTATATGTAGGGGTAATGAAAGTACAAAGCTGAAACTTGGATCCCAAGTGTCAAGCGGAAAGCCCATGATACTTAAGTGAATAAATCCCGGCACACCAGTGATTGTCCCTCGGTATCCAAGCCATGACAGGGGATGCCTACCCAGTGCGGCAAATCATATTTATGGAACCGAAGAAAAGCGTTGCATTAGCATATCGGAATATTCTCCTAAGTCCCGTATCTTTCAAATCCTTATAGTCGTTACTATTTTTACCTGGCTCAAAGACGCAGAGACCATTAACCCCACAATTTGCGTCCGCTTCATTAACCTTAGGCCTGCGGGTTTTTGGTCCACCATTCGATTTTTTTATGTAAACATACACAGACATACACAGACATACACACACAGAGAGAGAGGGAGAGAGAAGGCTGAAGAGGGGGAGGGTTGGAGGCAGACACAAATATATATTCACACACAATTAATTGCGCCCGACCTATGTCCTTTAAGGGCAACTGATGGTATATACTCTTGGTGAACATATTCATATAAATGAGTTACTATAATATGCTGGTGATGCGAGGTAGCTTCGGGCGATCAGCCTCACGGGTGGATGAGTGAATGTAGCTCGAGTTCGGATTAGGCTTTTCTTTTCGTCATGCTATCTTCCTTCCACCAAGAGTCATCCACATGCCCCGTGAGCTGCCCTCCAAGTCTCAAAATGTGACATCGTTCAGCAAGGTCCGTATAGCGTTCGCGGTTTCGTTGATATCCTCAAAGATCATCATATGCCCAGTTTCCAGGACAAATCTTTTCGGTGCCCTACCACTAGTTGCGATAAGGCCAACCAACTCATCCGTCACCGAAACAGGGGATATAGGGTCTGCGGCGCCTCCAATGATGCAGGTTGGACAGATGATTTTCGAGTAATCGGGATCGATGTGCGAGTCAGCACATAGTGCCTCGCACATTTGAGCGTAGCCTTCCGCGCTGGTACTGGCCGTAACCGTTCTCAATAATGCTCGGGCGAGGGGCGAATCGCGTGAAGGTATATTATAAGCCACCATGTCGTCCACGGTGGTTGCCGTTCCCACGTCTCTTGCCTGGCGCGCCAGGCTCAAAGTGAAAGACTTCGATGCTGGTTGATTTGCCCTGGTCCTGCCAGCTCCCAAGACTGCCAGACCTCGGACCATCTCAGGATACTCCGCCGCGGCGATCATGCTGGCAACACCACCTGCACTGTGCCCTACAAGCACCACGCTCGGTATATGCAGTTTCTGCACCACCATCTGAATGATGTACACAAGATCGGGAACAGAGAATTTTATACCATTTCTGTGGAGACTACTATGGCCATGTCCTGGCCAGTCGATTCGCACTACGGTGTACTGCTTTGAGAAAATGTCGGTAAGCGGTTGGAAAGCGTTGGTGTTTGATCCGAGTCCGTGCGTCATCAATATATATGGACCAGAACCGTCAATCTCGACGAATATCTTATACTCTCCGATTTGGAGAAAACGGGATTCCCGCCGCAACCTGATATCCTGAACTTGGGGGGTCATGGTGAGAACAAGGTCAGGGCTCGATACTGTATTCGAGGCGCAGGTCGTGATCAGCGCGGAAGCGATAGGGCAAACGGTGAAACTACCCGTGTTGGATCGTCATATGATAAGTTGAGGCGCATGGCTGCTTAAATTCTAGCACCACATCCCGTGGGTGCGGATCATTCGGAAACAGTTATCTCTTGGATCCACCTAGGAGATAGTGATGACCATCAGTGGCGGCCGAAGATAACAACAGCTAGCAGTGCCGCGGATCTAACCTGCATGTTGGACTCAAGGACCCACGGAAATTGCTACAGGTACGAGCCCCTACTAGCTGCCATTTGATAACAGGTTTACGGAAATTTATGGTGACAATTCAAAGGTTATGTGAGTACTGTATCTTTGTATTAACTAAGCTACTTAGTCTAGTTTACTCCAACGAGAGAAGATAGGTGGAGTCGTACTAGAATTGTCTAGACTCTTTTCGGCAAACAAGGTGCAGTGGGCCTTTATCCTATCAAGCGGCCAGCAACTGGAAACATTTATCACCAAGGAAATTCGCTTTTGTCGGCCGAAAGCTTGATTCGTACATATTGGAAGCACTAAAATGGAGCAGTGTGGCATTTCAAGCGATGACGTATTGGATAAGTTGCTTGAAGTGCAGATAAGCGTACCTCATGTGGCAGTCGCCCTTGCCTTTGACCTCTCGCAAAGTCTGACCGTCCGCGGGTCGTATGGTCCATAGGAACACCGCGGCCGAGCTTGTAGCATTAGATCAAGTAGTTAGGGAAAGATCGACATAACCCGCGTATAAGAGTTTGGTTCCAGCCTACACAACTGACGTGACGTTGATTCTCCATACAAACACGCGCCTAGTCTATTTTCAAAGCCATCGTATCATGAATTACCACAAAGAGTTCCCCATTATCGACATCTCCAAGTTCGAAACGGACTTCGAACACTTGTCCGAAGCGATATACCACGCCAGTAAAGAGTGGGGTTTCTTCATCCTCTCTGGTCATGACATCAAGACTGTTGACGAGATCTTTGACCTGGTGAGCAGCTGTCACTAGTGCTATGCTTGTGCAGAGAGGCTAACATAAATCATTCAAGTCGAAGAAATTCTTCGATCTGCCTCTCGAGGTCAAGGCAGAAAAAACAGTAAATGACAAGGCTGTGGGATACGATGGAAAGGCTAAGACAACGTACGTTCGTTCGTTATATAACCCTACTTCTCGAGGAACGTGGCTGATGAGATGCAGGTTTGCCGCTTCCGAGGGCATGACCTTTGGTTGCACTCCAGGTGCCATTCTGGAGACCGATCACTTACCCATCTGGTGGGACTTACCAAAGCGCACAGCCATCGAAGCCTTCAAGGCCGATTGCTACAAGCTAAGCATTGATATCATGTCCTGTTTCGCGATACAGCTTGGTCTACCTCGTGACTATTTTCAGAAGTCTCACGACCACAAAGATCCAGGAAACAACTTGAAATTGATCAAATATCCAAAGATGAAGATGAGCGAGGGACAGACCGTACCTCGTCTATCAGAGCACACGGACTGGGGCAGCATCACGTTCGTATTCACGAATCAAGGCGGTCTTGAGATCCGCGATCCGAACAACGAATGGTGTGAAGTACCCATAGTCCCTGGCGGCATCGTGGTCAACATTGGAGATGCTTTATCGCTATGGACCGACCAGGCTCTCAAATCTACCATGCATCGGATCACTTGGCAGAACCTGCCTGTAGATAAGGATCGATACAGTATCGCATATTTTACCAACCCCAACTTCGGTACGAGAAACTCATCAGTTTTTGTTGTTCACTGATGTCTGACAAGATGATTTAGATGCCACATTGTCAACTCCTGGTTGCACTGTATCGGACAGTGCATCGGACATCATCACCTACAGGGAGTATTATAAGGTTCGCCAGTGGCTGACTTACGGAGGATTGGAAGACAAGTTGGGACAACGGGCGTTAGCAGATATAGATCCCAAGGCCATCGAAGCAGTTCGGAGCTTGAATGTGGCAAATTCGGGCTTGCTGCAGTCGCATATCCGACCAACCGACACTCCCATCACTATATAACATGATGTAAGGAATGCAGCGAGTTGGTGGTCGCTGATTTATGCACCAGACGGGGTGGTCCCAATTCTGTTGTCTATTCCGTAGCTTTGGCCAAGTCCAAGCTCTTGAAGTGATTTCAAATCTAAGTCCGTCTTTGTCATTCCGACCAATGTACTGCGTTACTGTATAGCCCGAACTTCTGCCATGATCCTCTGCTTACGACTAATACAAGAGATGACTTGCTTATCCAAGGGGGACTTGTTTGTACTCCATCTCCTATTAGGTGAACTTCCACTTGTATAAACAAAATAGCTAAGGCATACTAGGCATCGTTTCTTGGACGTCCTTGAATTGCCTTTGGGCCTACAGTCACCTTATTACCCAAATCTCTATTGTTACGAACGTGGCGCTATGCCAACAACGGGTGTATATCTTCCATAAGCATAACAACATATGTTTTTATTCCTTAAATCTATCGCGCGGCTCAACTTAAAAGCTTATTTGCAAGCGTCTTCGGTCTCAGCAAACATAACTAATCATTAAAGCATAAAGGCACCTTGGTAATTGCAACGGATAAGCGAGGACCTGCGACTTAGCCTCGTTTCCACTTATTCGCCGAGCTGCTGGATGGACTAAAGATTCTCCAGCATAACGCACTCTACTTTATTGTTACGAACATGCACCCTTGCAGGAAGACAAACAAATGTGTTGGCGCTTAAGGAGGCACGCTGCGGGGCAATAACCAGACCCTAGCCAAAGACCCAGCCATCCCTGCCACCTATTAATAAGTGTCAGATAGTGGATTATAGTTCCTATACACTGGGGTGTGCTTAAGCACACGGGTCAACCCTATAGTATTTAAATAGATATACGGGACTTCCCGGGGATTAGCCGGGGCCACCTAAATAAGCGTATATTTTATTAAAATTAAAAAGCGCAAAATATAAATTAATATATTATATAATTAATATTTATATTAAATTAATTTAAATTTTAATAGGAAAATATTATTTTAATTAATAATTAAAAATTTTAATATTTTTGCCGAAATTATAAAAATAATAATTACGAAAAAAGCCGGAATCGGTTTAACGGTATCGTTAAAAATAACCTCCGATTAAAATAATTAGGAATATATATTTTAAATTTAGGTATAAATTACCGGATTAATTAATTATTTTAAAAATAAAACGATTTTAATTAAAACCCTAATCAAACCGGATATAAAAAAAACTAAATATATAAAAACCGCGATAGCGACTTTTAAAATTATAAATAAAAGCGACGATCCGAGTATTTAAAATAAAAAAAATAAAAAATAAACGATAACGGATTTTATTAAAAAAAATTAAAAATCGTTTAATTTCGATTATAATTATTATAAAATAAAAAAGGCTATATACGCTAAATAATATACGGCGATTAAAAAAATTACGAAATAAATAATTATTACGATTTTTTTTAAATTTTTTTTTTATATATTATTTAATTAACGAATTTTTATATAAATAATACGAGAATTTAAAAGCTTATTATAGCAAATTAGCTATAAATAATAAAAAAAAGCAAAAAAATAATATTTAAAAGCTTTTAAGCCTCCGAAAATATTAAAAAAAGCTGCTAATTAGGTTAATAAATAAAAAATAATTATAGCGAAAGCTTAAATAAAGCAAATAATTAAAATATAAAATAATTCGGTTTAGGCTATAAATTTTTTAAATATAATTATTTTAATTATATTATAATAGGCCGCCTTTTATTAAATTTATAAAAATAAAATATTTTAAATAAAAATTTAAAATATTAGGTAATAAGCAATAATTTCCGTAAAAGCTTAAGCATTTAATAGCCGATTAAATTAAAAATTAAAAAAGCGCTTTTATAATTTACGCTAATAAAGCTAAAAAATAGCTTTAAAATAAATAAAATAAAAACGTTTACCCTATTAAAAATTAAATATTTCCCCGATTAAATACGGCTAATTTACGTAAAAAAAAAAATAAACAAATTATTTATAATAAAAAGCAAAAAAATATTAAATATCCTATTTGCTATTTTTTTTACGTTTTTAATTTATATTTTTATATATTTTTAAAAAAAAATCTATTTAAGTTTCGTCCTTAAAAATAAAATGCAAATATAAATAAATAAAACCTTTAAAAAAAACCCTAATTTATAAAAATAGGTTCGTAATATAAAAAGGATTAAAACTAGCCGAACTAATATATTACGAATAATTAAAAAAAAATTACTTCCGATTAATATAAATTAATAAAACGGATAACTAATAGCAAATATATAAAATAATTTTATAATATTTATAAAAAACTATTTTTTGCGCTATTTAATTATTTTAAATCTAGCGATAACGATTTTAATTATAAATATAAAAAAAAAGCTTATTAATTATAGGCAAATTCTTAATTATAATTTTATCTAATTAGGCGACCGAAAATTATTTATTTACGAATACGGCATAATAATTATATAATTCGGATTTAAAATATTATTATTAAATAATATAGCCTATTATCCTAAATTGCTAATTATATTAATATTATTTTATTAATTATAAAAATAAAAATATTATTAAAATAATAAAAACGATTTTATAATATTACGCAAAAAAAATAAATTTTTAATTAATATATTTTAAAACCGATATAAATAATACGTTTTCGAATATAAACCTTATAAATTATTTTTAGCGTTATTTGCTATTTACCGGAAAAAATATATAATATAAATAAAAAAGCCATTATTAATTAAAAAAGCTATATAATAATATTATAAAATAAAATATTTAGGCCCGGTAATTTTCGAATATTTTATTTATTTATTTTAAAAAATAAAAATTAAAAAACTAATTATAATAAAATATAAAATTTGCGTATTTATAAAAATTACGCGTTAATTACGGCAAACGCTACGGCTAATTAACGAAAATTATAGCAAACGATTAGCTATAAATTTTTATAATTATACTAAAAAAATCGAAAATTATATATTTTAAATATTAATTATTTATCGGTAAACGGGATATATATAAAATTATTATTTTATAAAAAAAATTACAATTATATTAATTAACGCTTTCCGATCGTTTTTAAGCATAATAAAAACCTAATATAATATTAAAATTAAAATTATTAAATATAATAATAAAATTATAAAAATTAAATAAATAATAAAAAAATATTTCGAAAATAAATATATTAAATTCAAGCCTTTAATATTATATATATAAACCTAAAATAAAGCTATTAAACGCTTAAAAGGTATAATTAAAAAAAAAATAAGTAATACGTATTAACGCAAAACTCTTTTATTAATTTTAGCCCGAAATCGGCAAAACCGCAATATATTTATTAATTAAAGTGGTGCTTTCCTATTGGAGTTTAAACTGGTCTGGTATAGGTGTCAATTATATAATATATTAATTTATATTCTACGCCTTTTAATTTTAATAAGGTATACGCTTATTTGGGTAGCCCCGGCTAATCCCCGGGAGGTCCCGTATATTTATTTAAATACTATAAAGTTAATCCGTATACTTAAGCATACCCTAATATATAGGAACCATAATTTATTATTTAATATACCCCTTTAAATCTACGATTTATCGTAAATTTAGCTATATTTAAATTAAAATTGCTAATTAGCAAAATATAGCTTTTTTTAGGGTTATTCGTTTTAATTACGATAAGTAACGTTAAATCCTATTTATTGCAAAAAATTCTGCTATTTACCTATTAATAAGCTTTTCGTTAATTTATTTATTATTATTTTATTTAAAAATTTATAAATAACTCTAATCCTTTTTTTTAGGCTTTTTATCGTAATTAATAATTATAGATATTTATATAACGGAGCTTTATTTTTAATAACGCGATTTTGGCGTTAATTAAATTAATAATTTATTTATTATTATACTTAATAATAATAATACTATTATTTAGTTATATTAATAGTTTTTTTAATAATTAATTAACGAATAATATTTTTTTAGTAACTTGCGCTAAAGCAAATAATTTAGCTTTTATAATAGAAGTAGTAATTATATTTTATTTATTTAATCGCTAATTAATTAATTTTCCGAATAGCTTTATAACGAATATTTAAATATTTTTGCGATTAATGCTATTATCGGCAAATAATGCGTTATTAGTAATTATTAAATTAAAGGATTTTCCGATTTTAAACGAAAATTTTTTAATATTAATTAGGTAAATTAAAGCTCGATTAGCAGCTTTTTAATATATTTAGCTTAGATTATTAAGGAATTAAGCTAATTTAGCTATTACGAATACGATATTTAGTTTCGTAAATATAGCCGCGAATAATAATAATCCGATTTTTTTTTAATATTTTTATATTTCGTGGGGAAACGCTATAATTAATCGAGGTATAAGTTTTTTGCAGTTTATTAGCGTTGCATAAATTTTTTTTTATTTATAAGCTTAGCGATTTTTTTAAAATAAGCCTTTTAAGAGAGCTAGATTATTTTAAATATACGATTTCTAATTATTTCTATTTTAAAAAACCATTATATTAGCTCGTTATTACTAATTTTATATTTTTTTATAAAATATTATATTAAATAATTAATAGCTTTTTTATTTTTATTCCTATATGCGATAATTATATTATTAACGTAAAAAAAGACTAATATTTTTTTTTAATAAATGCGTAGGGCTTATATAATATTTAAATATAACCGATTTCGGCTAAAGTTTTTATAAATTTTTTTTGCTATAATAGCGGTAATATCCGTAATTTATAAAATATTTTATTTAATAATAATATAGCGTTTTTTTTTTCGATATTTATCCGGTATTTTTATAAATATATTTTAATTAATAAAAGCGTATATAAACGCGTTTATTACGTTATATTATATTAATTTAAAATCGAATTTTATTATAATCGCGATTAAGGTGCAAAATAATTTTTTAGCTAATATAGTCGCATAGGTTTCCTGGTTTTAGGATTTCGCCTATTAATTACTGTAAACGACGAAT